AGATACAGTTCAACAGGGAGAGTGGTGGCTCCTGCAGATCTAGATAGGAATAAATTAGTTTTCATTACAACTGTCACGGTAGAAATTAGCAGATTTCGCCAGGCCATTACTTCATTAAATCAGCATTATCTCGCTTACACGACAGCGAAAACTGAGACGTCTCTTCACGCAATGCTGGTTTTTCGAGTTATTAGAACGTACCCCTAAGCCATGTCCTGAAACAAACCCTCCATCATTCGGCTTCTAGGAAATGTCACTTATGCATTAAAGCATTCTTCGGACACATGGTGGCATTAACAATTTTAAATGGCCGTAACGTTTCTATATGTTTTATGATATTTTGTTTGACACGCCGGATTGACAAGGGTATTTTAAAAATTGTCTATGTATCTTTCTATTTCTTTGTTTCTTGCTTCCCCTTTTCCCCTTTTCTGTTCCCTACAGTGTATATCAAACTCATCATCATCATGTAGCAGGTCCTTTGCAGAACGTCGCTCTCATCACAGTCTGCCTGAAAGAAACTCGGTCTCTCGCCAGTTCTCCCGCCTCATGCATATCAAACTACTGGACGTAAATTTGCCTAGAGAAACCACACAACAGCCCGGCGCTGCTGGGGTTGGTTCTGCAACGTCCTGTACAGGATACGCAACAAACCTTTAAAAAAAGGACAGTGTATATTTCGTGGGGTTGAACTTCATTCACGGATATTTAGGGGTTGCGGTAAGCTAGGGGCTAGACGATAGCATGAGGGCTGGAAAGTCTAGGATTCAAATCCACATCTAGAGGGGAAAAACAAAATTTAGCATTGAAATTGGCGCCTCAGTCGACCCAGCCTAATATTTTGAGCTGAAAACGGGACATCCAAAGCTAATCAGTTTATACAATGTTTCCTCCCTCTACCCAAAAATAATTTATAGAATTATTTTTTAATATTATTGATAATTTAGGAACTAATACATTTTTAATAACTTTTCTTTCTTTTCTCATCCGATTTACTGAAATTAGGTTATAGCCCAGTGTCGTGGTTTTCTGAATTTGTTTTGCGCTTCTCTGGTGGCTTGAGTGATCGATCTGTTAATCCTTTATTTTTTTTTTTTTTTGTGTGTGTGTGTGTGTGTGCAGGTTTCAGCTATACCATTCATTCACCTCTTTCTTGGTCTTTCCCTCGCCTTCCTTCCCGATGTTCTGCTGTAAATTCTCATTGCAATTTGGTCTGGCTGCATTCTCATTAGATGGCCGAGCCTTTTAATTCTTTGTCTGTCAATATAATCCATCACCATCAGTTCTCTTTATGCCTAGTGTCACATGAGGCTTCAGGCAGGACTTTCCATGCTTTCCTCTCCTGTGCAATATCCATGTAGTTTTCCATGTCAACAATGCAGCCTTAGTTCACTTTCCATCGTTTGTCTTTATGTTGTTTTTGGGCGCCTCTTCTTTCTCTTTCTCTCTGGTGTCCATGTATGAGTATGCGCTTTCCGATGGTCTTAAGCGACCCCTGTGTTAGGGTCATTCGACCCCAAAATTGATCGAGACCCACAGGTTGAGAACCGCTGCCTTAGGTGTTGACCACATCACTCTTACTTATCGTTGTATCCATAGATGAGCACTCCGGTCTGGCTGTATCTCTATGTGCGCACCCAACCCCCCGCCTCCATTTCAACTGGCCCCACTTTCCACTTTTTCCATTATGTTTCGTTTCGCAACCTCTCTTCCTGCTCCCGTTTTCTCATCGAAGCGAACGTACATACAGGACATTGAAGATGCATTGGTCATGGAAGCACAATGAGCTAGAGAAATGGCTAGAGAAAGAACGACGTTCAGTAAAGGACATGGTGTTTGATTGATTGGCTGATTGATTGATTGATTGATTGATTGATTGATCGATTAATTGATTGATTGAATGATTGATTGATTGATCGATCGATTGATTGGTTGATATTGAAATAGTTAAAGATTCAATATTCACAATTCTAATGCTGTTTCTCATTCTTTATTTGTCTACCCTTCAGGCAAACCAAGTGAATTTTCCAGCAGCGTACACAGCTACAGTAGCAACACGCAATCACCTAACGAGAACAACAGCCAGCAACTGAACGGATCCGCGGCATCTGGACGCACAAACTTTACCAATAAACAACTGACAGAACTAGAGAAAGAATTCCACTTCAACAAGTATCTCACTCGCGCTAGAAGGATTGAAATAGCCGCAGCCCTTGGTCTGAATGAAACCCAGGTGAAGATCTGGTTCCAAAATCGTCGCATGAAGCAAAAGAAGAGAATGCGGGAGATACAGTTTGAGAAGGTCAATGGAGACAGTTGTCAGCTCCACGAGCATAATGGACTTGCGCATCCGAATATGGCTTTGTGTCCGGACACCAGATAACTCGCGCGTTGTGATATTGACTTGCGGTTGGGAATACAGAAGACCAGTGGCGAGGAGTTAACGATTTACACTAAAAGGGTATCACGTGACATTTTCCTCCTCGTCGCTTAGCTGTTGAGAATATGCGTGCACAGCTAGCACTGAAGTACCAGACTAGTAACTTTCACATGTTACAGTTTCTGCATAAGTGGCGTAAGCATGTATCTAGCGTTCTTTTCGCTATGTTCGAGACCCAAACCAAGTGGCTATTGGTAATAAATAGTAAACAGTCATACAAAATAATAACACAAATTTGTCTTTGTCAATGGTAAGTGTAAGCGGCGATTTCAGACGTTACATGCCACGCCTCGCTATTGCAATAGACTCGTGTTATTTGTTATGATATTGATACATGGTTCAGAACACCACAGACTCGAGTGTTGTACTGTGATATTGATTCGTGGTTGAACACCTGATAACTCACATTAGAAACAGGTAACTTATGCGTTGTGAAAACGCTTCGTAGTCCTGAGGTGCCGAGTTAGATGCCAGTTGCGGACGCTATTACAGCAGACCGCCTTGCGCAAGTTAAAATAGTGGTGCGAGAGCCAGCCTCTGTTTTTTTAAATGTGAATGGCGTGTAACACAATGGAACCTACCAATCAAATCTCTTTCTTTAATGTTCGTTGTATTTTAGACATAGTATTTGGTCATGTTCTTGGTACGCCATTTGGAGGTGACAGGTTCGATTTCCGGCACTGTAACTATAGCTTTTTCTATTGTTATCTTGTCTAGTGTGGCCTTTTATCTTTGTACTTCTTTCTATAAATGCCGATCACTAACTACATTGTCTATTTATATATATAATATTTGTGCCTCCCCCCCCCCTTTCCCCAACCTTTTCCCGTTCATTTATATGCATTTTTCTTCTTACAGTCCATGCCATGTGACTTTAGCAGTCATGTCTATCCACAGTCGTCTGACTCATATACTTTCAGTCAATTCTGGCACAGTGGATCTTTCGTGCAGCGTGTCTAACTGGTCTTTATTTTTATTTTATTTTTTTAGTTTCTGCCTCTTTTCCCATACAACTTTTCATCGTCGTGATGTACTTCAGTTTCCCCCTTCTGATAACACGAGCAAAGAATGTAGATTGTCTCACTCTGATGTAATATACAGTAAGCAAAACAGTTCTCTTCGTAAGTCAGTAGTAGTAGGTAGGTTAATATATTCGCCACGTAAGGAGCTCTTGGGCTTTTACGGCGCAGGCTGGAAATGGAATCGGGAAGCAAGATCTGGTGCTGTTGCATTGACCAAAAGTAGTCTGGAGGTCATGGCAGTGACCAAAGCTGTGACAAAAGCAATAACATGGCTGGAGACACAGGACCCCCCCCCCCCCCCCCCAAGAATGCCGGGCATCGTTTCACAACGTTATGTAAAGGCTTGAGTCATTACAGAAGTCCACTGTGCGTGGAGTCAGCTTTATGTTCGTTCCAGTTCACGTGTGAACTAAAATAAAAGGACCAAGCTCTGCTCCTGTCAACTGACCGGGAACTGAGAGAGTTAAGCGAGTTCATGTAAACGAGGTTTTATTGTAGATGGTTCCACTGGGTTTTTGACGTGTGTATCTGTTTGATTCTCATCCTTCACGTATTAGTCCGTACCGCTGCAATCTGGAGGTACACTTATTTTTTAAGTGGTACATTTAGCTGTTCCTACTCACTCCGTCAGAACAGCCAGGTCTACAGTCAAAATGATCAACTAGAAAGTGGAACAGCGGTCCTCACTATGTCAGAACAGTCAGGTCTACAGTCAAAACGATCAACTAGAAAGTGGAACAGCGGCCCTCAATCTGTCAGAACAGCCAGGTCTAAAGTCAAAATGATCAAGTAGAAACTCGAAAAATGGCCCTCACTATGTCAGAACAGCCAGGTCTACAGTCAAAATGACTACCTTGAAAGTGAACAGCGGCCCTCACTCTGTCAGAACAGTCAGGTCTACAGTCAAAATGATCAAGTAGAAAGTCGAACAGCGGCCCTCACTCTGTCAGAACAGTCAGGTCTATAGTCAAAATGATCAACTAGAAAGCGGAACAGCTGCCCTGGAGATCTGCATTTGCAGTTGATATGTCATAACTCATGGAAATGTGTGTGTCTGTGTTTATGCACACATGAGTGCATGTGTGAATGTACTGTGTGAATGTGTGCATGCACACCAGATCCAGACTAAAATTAATAACAGAAAATGACATGAGAAGAAAAGATAACCACATTACTTGTCAAATGTTGACTGGTCTATAAAAATCCCGACCTTGTGCCCTACATCTGATTCCTGACCTTGTGCCCTACATCTGATTCCTGACCTCGTGTCTGTGCCCTACATCTGATTCCTGACCTTGTGCCCTACATCTGATTCCTGACCTCGTGTCTGTGCCCTACATCTGATTCCTGACCTTCTGCCTGTGCCCTACATCTGGTTCCTGACCTTGTGCCCTACATCTGATTCCTGACCTTGTACCTGTGCCCTACATATGATTCCTGACCTTGTGCCCTACATCTGGTTCCTGACCTTGTGCTTGTGTCCTACATCTGATTCCTGACCTTGTGCCCTACATCTGATTCCTGACCTTGTACCTGTGCCCTACATATGATTCCTGACCTTGTGCCCTACATCTGGTTCCTGACCTTGTGCTTGTGTCCTACATCTGATTCCTGACCTTGTGCCCTACATCTGATTCCTGACCTTGTACCTGTGCCCTACATATGATTCCTGACCTTGTGCCCTACATCTGATTCCTGACCTTGTACCTGTGCCCTACATATGATTCCTGACCTTGTGCCCTACATCTGATTCCGGACCTTGTGCCCTACATCTGATTCCGGACCTTGTGCCCTACATCTGATTCCTGACCTTGTGCCCTACATCTGATTCCTGACCATGTACCTGTGCCCTACATCTGATTCCTGACCTTGTGCCCTACATCTGATTCCTGACCTTGTGCCTGTGCCCTACATCTGATTTCTGTTCTGACCTTCTGCCTGTGCCCTACATCTGGTTCCTGACCTTGTGCCTGTGCCCTACATCTAATTCCTGACCTTGTGCCCTACATCTGACTCCTGACCTTGTGCCCTACATCTGATTCTTGGCCTTGTGCCCTTCATCTGATTCCTGACCTTGTGCCCTATATCTCATTCCTGACCTTGTGCCCTACATCTGATTCCTGACCTTGTGCCCTACATCTGATTCTTGACCTTGTGCCCTACATCTGATTCCTGACCTTGTGCCCTATATCTCATTCCTGACCTTGTGCCCTACATCTGATTCTTGACCTTGTGCCCTACATCTGACTCCTGACCTTGTGCCCTACATCTGACTCCTGACCTTGTGCCCTACATCTAATGTGCTAATGGTGTGTGAATGGTACTTGACAATTTTTATTAAAATACATTATATAACACATTCCATCCCAGACCATCATAGCTGATGCATGCTCCAGTCTGAAATCAACAAAATAATGGGTATACTACATCCACAGGGCCTAAATACACATCCCTTGTGGGAGACCCATGTAGTGTAGAGTATTTTAGCACGCACCGACTTGACAAGAATATAGAAGCATAATAATATGTTGACTGGTCCAAATGAGTACATCCAGTCACTCGCGGTGCGTTATTTGGACTTAATTAGTTCAAGGGAAATACATAAATAGGCCACAGATTTATATTAGTGTAACACAAATTTAATAACACGTCTGTTATGCAGGCATTGAATTTCAGAAATATGTGCAATGTTCTCAGTCTCACAAACAGTCAAAGTGTTAGTTTTCCCTTTTTTCTGCTTTTTACCTTCCAATGAAGCTCAGTCTTCCCTGTGTGGGTCCTTGGGTCCCAAATAAAAACAGAACAAAACAGAAATACAGAGTGTTTAGGTTGAGGTTTAGACGACAGATCAACATCAAGGCACAAGGGTAGTAACTCATAAGTGCTCCGTTCTACTTGTGTGTGAGTGTATGTGTGTGAATGAGAGAGAGCGAGAGATAGAGATAGAGACAGACAGACAGACAGACAGACAGACAGACAGACAGACAGACAGACAGACAGACAGACAGACAGACAGACAGACAGACAGACAGACAGACAGACAGACAGACAGACAGAAACAGACAGACAAACAGACAGAGACAAAGACACACAGAGAGTGAAAGAAAGAGGGGGAGAGAGAGAGAGAGAGTCAGAGAAAGAGGGAAGGTGAGAGACAGAGAGAGGAGAGACAGAGAGAGAGAGAGAGAGTGAGTGAGTGAGTGAGCGAGCAGGGGTGGGGGGTCTTAAGTTTGCATAACATCAAATGCTGTAGAACTGTTTTCTGCAGTCAGACAAAAAAGCACTCAGAAATATACAGACATGCCTATATCCTGTTTGTGCTAAATTCTAGCTCACTGTGATGAGATGTGTAATGAGATACGGTAGCACCAGTGATTAGAGATATAATCAGATAGGCCATCGCTAGTGATATGTTTTATTCTTAGTCCTAATCTTAGTTTTAGTAAAGTTTTCAGCTTAACTGCAATCGGGTTTCCCCATACTTGCTCCGTTCCTGTGCCAGTGAAAGTCAAATGAAATGTCCCTCACTGTCGCATTTGAAAAACTAGTGAACAATTGATCCCGGCACAATCGAGAAATATGCGCACGCAGTAAATGCATATGGCAGTTGCTAACAGTCGCTACCAGAAATGAAGTGATGTGTGTAATCAGATCCACTACCATACATGAAACATGTCGCATCGGTGACCGGGTTGCCTCTTGGGCTTGCAGGTAGAAGACTTTGTCGACGGTCAGGACAATATTTGGGTGTGTCTCATTTGATCCAATCAACACTGCAGGAGTCCTTTTCAAAGCTTTTGGTGGCGTACATAAAAGCCATTTTAAATGGTGCAAATAACCTAGTCACAATTATAACCTATAGCTTCAGGGATGCTGGTTAAATGCGACAATTTTTAACTTTTGTTTTCGAACAAAGCAATGGAATGGAACATGAAAGATTTAATCAGAAAACACAAATAACAGATGACATGTCCATTGTACATACAAACTGTGAATCAAATAAATTAAGCATTTGTGGACGCTGAAAACGTTTTACATATTTATTTATTTCAGCAACGCCAGGAAAGAAATTAAATTTGAATAACATCAGAGACTTTCTGATATAAAAGGAGATTACGCTAATGATATATAAAGTAAAAGTAAAGATCCCTTATTACGCCGAAGGCGCCTCGGGTAGATGGGCAGAGCGTCCCATATTTTTACAGACCAATCGGCACTCGGTGGGTAATGTGGTCAGCATTACGCCGGCCATCTTTACTTCCCCAGGACAGCCATCCTGGTACCCATTTGAGGTTGGTTCGACCTGCGACGTCCCATACCACGATAAAAATCCATGCAGCCCGCAGTGGGTTTCGATCGCGGTACGTTGGATTACGAGTCGGACTCGCAACGCCTTAGCCACGGACTCCGCCTAATGATATGTACACTTGCAAAAAAATTGAAATGTTGTATGTGCTTCTGTATGAGTTTCTGTATTAAACAGTCTGTGCAGAGTTAACTGTTTTAACATAACCGATGCTAGTGAGATTCTCCTCTTACTGTTATGTTTCTAATATTATCTAGTTGTTGTTTATTATTCAAATCGCAAATGCCAACCTAACGATAAAAGTGGGCAAGAAAAATCAAGTACGGATGACTGAAGAAATTATGAATAAAATGAATGAGACACACACACACACACACACACACACACATGCACACACATATGCACACATACGAAAAACACTCTTGACTATGAAATAATGGACAAGGAAAGACAAGGAATATGTGTAGAGTTGCTAACGAGACCTGGATGTAGGAGAAATGTTAGGACATATAGGATCTAGAAAGAAAACAACAACTCTCAAATATGAATTATACAGCTAAACAAAAAACTAGAAATTTTTCAACAGAAAACACTTAAATAACAGAGAATGAGAGAAAGAGGAACGGGAAGAGGTGAACATGGAGGAAGAAGAAGAGAAAGATCAAGAGTAGTAAGAGAAAGAAGCAGAAGTGAAAGAGGAAGAGGAGAAGGAAGAGAAATAAGCAGAAGAAGAAGCTGAAGAAGGAGAAGAAGAAGAAAAGAGGAGGAGGAGGAAAAGAAATAAGCATAAGAAGAAGAAGAGGAAGAAGAAGAAGAGACGGATAAAGGTGAGGAGGAAAAAAAGCAAAATAAGAGAAAGAGATAAAACAAAAACAAGAATGGTGAAAAAACTAACATAAGGGCATCACCCAAACATAATTCAGAATCAAGTTTTTACACTGCGAATGTAAACTACGTAGACATTAACTTTTCATTGTTCAAGTTATAGCCTGGCATATGTTCCTGTATGTCATCTCTTATACTCTACACAGCGTAAACCAACCTTTTTTTTTCCCGCAGAAAAATTAATCCTATGATGTGAAAATACCAATTACACAGTCCATTGTCATACTTTAAGCTTACCAGGAAAGTCTCAGATTAACCATGTATATCCTGTTATTGACATCATATAGGACTGGACTGCCCATTCATTTACAACCTTCATTAAATTCCAGCAGGTGCCTTTTTATTGTCGGACATCAAACTAAGACCCAATTCCTATCAATCATATGGTCAGAGTCTAGCAGATAATATGCTGTGGAAGAATCTTAAACTTATCTCTTGAATAAATGACCACACACACACAGTCTTATATGACTTTGAAGCCTGGAAACAACTAAAAGAGATTAGGCCAATACACATTTTTTTAAACAGTCTTGCGACGAATCTTTCGACCCACCAATGCTGCAAACAGCGGGGAATGGAGAGTGAGAAGTAACAATAAATTCAAAATTGATCATAATTACTGATTATAATGTAGCTGATTCATAATCTGGGCAATCATTCTTGATGACCCTGTGTTTAGAATTTCAATGAGAACACTGGCAATATACAGGGCTTCTCAAAATGATGGATGCGTTTTTATTTATGTATATTTCCTTGAATATACAAATAAGAGAGAGAGAGAGAGAAAGAGAGAGAGAAAAAGAGAGAGAAAAAGAGGAAGGTCTGATTTTCAGAATCTTACAGATGTTACTGATGTTCAATATGGCTGCCGTCTGCTGCACGGTGGCCATCTTACTTTTAACTGAAGTGAAAGGTCCTTGGTGGCATGAACATTCCCAGTCAAATGGCTGGTTATGCAGCTGCGCTCTTGCAGTATGATTCAAAACTTTACAACTTCCCCTCTCTCCTGTATGTATATTATAATTATATAACGAATATTCAAAAAAATATACATGAATGAAAGTGTATCTATCATTCTAAATAGCACTGTATATTGTTAGTGCCCTTGTTATTGAAATTCTAAACACTGGGTCATCAAGAATGATTGCCATAATTTTACACTTTTATTTTAAAAGACATAGTTAATTGATATTCACGAGTGGCATATTAAAATGTTCAGAAAAGTTTACAGTTTCGTGTGACCTTGTGTGACCATGAGGCTTAAAAACAGCGCTGAGAAGATGACAAACATCCAGAGAGTGGCTGCAGCAATTTCAACTATAACTCTGGACACGGTTCAAAAAACTTTGCAGGAGAGTGAATACCATCTAGTCACCAGCAGAGCTAAAATAAGCACTCATATCTAAATAAGTTTAAAACATCAAACTTTTGTGAACATTTTGAGACACCACACATATCTTCTTCTTCTTTGCACTACTCTTGGGATGCCTCGCAGCGTCAGGGCATGAAGAAATCTCTAGAGCAGGCCCTTGAGAGCAGGCCCTTCTGTTCACTTTGTATGAAGTACTTTCCAGTGTGACATTTTTGTGGTTCATCTTCTGTGTGGTTGACCTCTGGCTCTGTTATCGCTGTATGCGTATAATATTATATTTATTATTATTATTAATATTATTATGCTATCTGTGGTGTCGGGTCTGATGCCAATCTTGTTACATGGCCAAACCATTTGATTTGTTGTCTACCCATAAAGTTCAGTATTGGTTCTGTGCCGACTCTCCTCCTAATATCCCCATTCATAAGTCGATCTTTCCTTGTTATACCCAGCATAGTACGTTAACATTTCAGTTCTGTCGTGACTATTTTCTTTCTGTCTTCTGAAGGCAATGTCCATGACTGACATCGATAGCATAGCATTGGTAAGAATATATATAAATACACTAACTACTATTTTTATAATAACAGTTAAAACTCTAGGGAAACATGACTCTTGACCCTGTATAAAAATCAGATCAACTAACTTTGTGCTAGAACATATTCTGACAAACATCGTTCAGATTTCTTTATCAACTACAGTATGGGCCTTAACATAATCTCTCAACAGCGACTCAGCTTTCTGTCTGTTGGTGAGCTTGCCTGCTTTGCCCCGAAACAGGCCCTTGCTTGCTGCTCCCTTGCCCTCAAACAAGTCACAGATCCTAGAAGACACATCCAAAACAAAAACAGGTCAGGGTAATCATAAATTAGATACAAAACATTCGTGTCAATTCTGGGGGTACAAGAATAGACCCACTGCCTTCCAAACAAGCATGTCATAAAAGGCGACTAGTTAGTTAGTTAGTTAGTTAGGGAGTGAGTGAGTGAGTGAGTGAGTGAGTGAGTGAGTGAGTGAGTGAGTGAATGAGTTAGCTAGCTAGCTAGCTAGCTAGCTAGCTAGTTAGTTAGTTAGTTAGTTAGTTAGTTAGTTAGTTAGTTAGTTAGTTAGTTAGTTAGTTAGTTAGTTAGTTAGTTAGTTAGTTAGTTAGTTAGTTAGTTAGTTAGTTAGTTAGTTAGTTAGTTAGTCGTTACGGTTCTGGTATCACAGATAGGCTGGATACTTCAAGTGAATGCCGTAGCCATACAAAGTGTCCTCAGTCAGCTAGACACACACGACTGATCTGGCAAACCATAAGGTAGATGCCTCCTTAAACACACTGTGAGACCAGGCATCATCGCTGAAAATCAACTTCATTCGACGAATAGCTGGGCGATGAGTAGATTAAAACTATTCCTGACCATTCTCCACATGTCCTCCGCCAAATTGCAGCCACAGCCAGCAAATAAATAGCAGCTATAGCCCACGCATTGTCCCAGGAACACAACGATGAGAAAATATATCACCTATCATTGCCATTATGCACGAATCTGGAACTCAGTCAATAACTGATAATCACAGCTCATAGTGCCGCCAGAAGCATTAAACTCAGTAGCTCCGGCTGCAAACCAGACTTCCACAATCTTGCATCTTCGAAACTGGAGGAGAAACGATGACGAGAACGGTCAACATAAGTCAATATCTCAACCCTCATCCATTCCCTATCAATGTCGGAACTGGAAGCCAAAAAAGGCGACAAATTAAGGGTGTTTCCTTCAAGGTCGGAGTGCAACTGCGTGAAAAGGCTAGGAACCAACAGTCTGCATACCAATAAGTCAGATCTGAAAGTTGGCAAGATTGATGGAAAGAGCGCAAGACGAAGGCAAAGAGGTAAATCACTGGATGGCCTGGTCAGATGGATGGGGCCAGACAAAAACAGTGAAATGATCCTGGATTCTTGTGATCGTGTGAGAGGGCAAAACATGACAGCCTAAGCTTTACCAGCATGGCAGATGATGATGATGATGTAAAATGGATGAGCAAGTGCAAAAAACTTGAGTTCTGGAACAAGACCAAAGTCCAGAAGTGGACAAACAATCAGGACTTTCTGCCAGGGTATATAGCTAGTCAATGTGCAGAAGAAGATATGGGAGACAACCACAATCAAGTCACTGCACACTGGACATTGCCATGTTGTGAAGTCGCTCCCTAGGCTGGCCAAGCTACACCACACTGAGAAGGGTGGGGCTACAATGTACTACTGACTGACTAAGCTGGCTGCAAAAAACAGGAATCCACAGTGGATGATCACAACTTGACAAACACAGCCTACTTCTGCTGCAATGGTTTAACTGCCTTCACATACTGTGCATTGTTTGCCAGTCAATCGTCGCCAACAGCCATCTTGGGCTGACTTCCACGTGGTCATGTTCTAACACAGCAACCAAAGACACTGCACTCTACTGACAAAGTAAACTGTCCAACAAACACATGTCTTTGAGTCAACACAGCAGAGAGATCTCTCTCATTCTTCTAGCAAGCAACCTCACATCATTACAACAGCTCCCACACTGAAAGTTGCTCACTGTACACAAACCAACACACATGGCCAGATTCAATCTGCCATAATCAGTCCCTCTCATTAATTAACTCAATCCCTCGCTGAGATCAGTTGCACATCAAGATTCACCATTTGGCTACATCCAAGCGCCACACACAGAATGACCTTTAATCATTCTTACTTCAAATATATTTCTAATTCACGTATTTCCTTAAACATTGTTCACCTTCTCACCTAATCCTCATGTTGTTACAATTTCTCCAAGACCTGCTTTCAACCCGTGGAAATCGTTTAGTCTTCATACTGTCATGTCCCACTTTCTGTAGGGGGGTTTCCTGTTAAATTGGCGAATGATCATGTACGATCCATCTCCTACTCCTTATTTATGTTTCTGTTTAAACAAGGGATCAATGTCATGGCACAAGGGTGGTAACCCATAAGTGCTCCATTCTACTTCTAACTCAAGCCTGAGTTCAAAGAATCTCAGCACAGTGGACAAACTCTGTAGAACCAGCGAGGATCCAGAAAAACTTTGGGTAGATATTTAACTCCAGATTTTGCCCGAGCAGCGCCTCTAGACTACTCTTTTCGATTTCCAACTGCCAAGAGATTTTTTATGTGCGCAACAATACACTTGGGCGTTAGATCTTACTACCCAGAGACCAGGGGAAATTAGTAGAAGTCCACGTGAAAAATTGCAGCTTTCACCATGGCCTGAACCACGGGCCTCCAGCACTCGAGGTATTTTTGTGTACATATGACCAGTTTCCTATTTTGTCTACTTACTCCTGGCACTAAGGAAGGGAACTGTGTCACGACCTCGACCGTGTGAAGTCCCAACACTAATTAGTTTTGGTATATTCTGTGAGCACAGACAACATAGTAAAACAAATGACATATGTCTCTCACATACATGAACACACAGACATGACATTTTCCTAGACCAATGATTCCCAAACTGTGCGCTGTGGCACCCCTGGGAGCTGCGATCTCTTCACAGTGGCGCCACGAAATATTAAAAGATACACAATTGTTTTTGTTTTCTTACATACAAATAGTCATATTTCTGCAGGTGATTTCTGCGTGGTCTACCTCTGGTTCTGATACCGCAATGCAGTTTCCCTTAAACATATACTGTACACACCACTAAAATTCCTAATTTTATTCATATTATTTTGGGTACAATATATTATTTTGGGTACAATATATTTTTTTGGGTACAATATATTATTTTGGGTACAATATATTATTTTGGGTACAATATCTCAGGCTTGTATCTATTCTAACGTGCTGAGTTTAGCTGATGTAATTTTAAATGGTAGGGGCCTCAGGACTTCATATAGCTTAGAGCCTCATCAAGTCTAAATCCAGCCCTGGGCTTTACAGTCATCTATAAATTTTAAGGTGGGGTTGGAGGTGGCTGAACATTGGCAACTGGTTCGGCCAATTGGCTCACGGGTAGACGACTTTGTGGCCGGTCAGGACAGAATTGGGTCTGTCTCTTTTGATACATCAACACTGCAGGAGACCTTTTCAGGGCTCTTGGTGGTGTGCAATGATAAGCCATTTTATATGGTGCACATAACCCAGTCACAATTATAACCTAAAGCAAAGCACCTACCCAGCAGCTGGCTGATCAGACCTAAAGGAGCAAGGGGATGAGACCCCAATCAAATGAAGATGATTTAAGAGACTGGAAAGGAAAAAGAGGATATTTCCTCCTCCACACCTTTAAGTTTTTTTTTTTTTTTATATGACCATTAACTGTTTCAATCCTAAGAGGTTTACCATCAGAGGCAGAAGGGGAAGCAAAAAGAGATGTAAAATCAGCACAGTCTGCATTCATTGGACGTCTAGGAAGGAAGCTATGAACTTGTGATGTGTTCCTTGGGGCTGAAGGAGTTAAAAAGTATGGGGTCTGTGGCAGATCTACAACAAAAAAAGGGATCTGCAGGCCTTATCTACCTGGGAACGCTCTTGATCACTCAATCAGGTGCTATCTCCACAAGGAAAGTTGGATGCAGTGGACCTCAAACAAACTCTGTCTCTAGTCCTAGTTTTATACTCTGTGGGTAGTGAGCATACTTTGGATATTTTCTCCAGTCTACGCCGGCGTGGTAAGAAATGAACAGGCAGACAGACTGGCTGGATGTGCACCACTGGGTGGTGAATTGATATATGACAAGGCAGATGTGGTCAAGGCCCTTTGGGAACAAGCAAAAGAATCAGTAGAGAAAGAAGATTAATATGGCCTGGAGAGAATGAGGCACCTGGGTGTAACCAGAGGGTCTGGCTGGCTCACTACACTCAGAGGAAAGGCAAGACGGACATATAACCAGACTGTTACCAGTCAGTATTGGAACTCTGCGCTGGCTGCTGAAGATGGGGACCGAGCGCAGATGGGAATGCCCCGAGTGCTGTGATGTCAATTCTTGATTCAACTCAACTTAACTCAACTTTTATACGCTGTGAGACTTCTGTCAGTCCATCTCTTGATGCTGTCTTTCCATCTGTATCACTATCTAGTCTCGTGCTCGCTTGCCCTTCAGTTTGTCCTTCCAAGCCACGTTAGTGCAGTTGATAGGAGACTCGCTTTCAAATCCAGCGGCGACTCGCTGCAGCCCATGGGTGGTATTCGAAGCCAGGTGGTTTCCGGGGTTCACCCAGCCTATAGAAAATGGGTACCAGAGTTAACACTCTGGGGTAAATGGGGGAACATCACTGTAGCTACGCAGTTGCGTGCAGATGGTGACACAGGCGGACAGTTTCTTATCAACTATCCGTACTGGTGGCAGAGCACTTATGGTTTACCGTGTGCAGTGATGCTGGTTCACATCTCCCAACTTTACCTTTACTTTTATGCTTGTTGTGGAAGCAGCAGGTCTATTCTTGTTTTCCCTACAATGGGGCCCTAGAATCCACATGGAGCATAATGTGGCCAAAGTATTTTACGTGCCCCATTTTAACTACTTTTAAATATCTTCCCATTCATTATCTTTTCAAAACCTTTGTATTCGACTGGTTTTGTTTTTATGAGATATGACCTATTTATTCTTCTGCACATCCACTTTCCCACAGGTTCAAAACGACTGTGTAAGTGCTGGGGTTCCCTGTCCAAGTTTCTGTATAATATAGCAAACTACAACTAATACTTGACTATTATCATTTAATGCTGGGGCTGGTTTGCAACACCTTGTTAGGATATGCAATTAATTGTTAAATATTCTCACTAGGTCTATCTATATCCATATCCTCTTCATATCGCTGCTGACACATAAGGCATTCACAAGTGATCTCCACTGCTGCTGTCTGCTGCTTTTCTGCCTGTGGTATCCCATGTCAGTTTACATTCCTTCATTTCCCGTTCTATTGTCCTTCTCCAGGTTCCCATAGGTCGCCCAAGTCTCCTTTTCCCATCTGCTTGAGACTCTCTAGGTCAGGGTGGGCCAATTCCAGCTGGCAAAAGCCTAGCAGGTAGCACACAGATCATTGCCAAAAGTATTTTATTAATGATCTTTCTACATTTAGGCTCAGACCTCCCCCCCCCCACCCCCCCCCCCCCCCCCCCCCCCCACCCCAACAATCCCCATTTTCAACATTTCAGTCCCTATGTCAATTTAGTTGCCTAGCCCAGCTCCACATGTTAATAATTTGTGCATGCTGTTGAAAACAGTTCTGACCACTTCTAACCTCTAGAACAAATGAGCAAAATAAAGTAGACAAGACAGACAGACTACCTCGTCTGCCAGTTCTCCCAGCAGCACACTTATGTAGTCGTTGTCGCCTTCCTTCCTATCAGAGACAAAATATAGGGGTTGTGTCATAAACATGAGAATGTATCAAACATATACATGTGGATGTATCAAACACAAACATGTGGATGTATTAAACACAAACATGTAAATGTATCAAATACAAACATGTGAATGCATCAAACACAAACAGTGAATGCATCAAACACAAACATGTGAATGTATCAAACACAAACATGTGAATGCATCAAACACAAACATGTGAATGCATCAAACACAAACATGTGAATGCATCCAACACAAACATATGAATGCATAAAACACAAACACGTGAATGCATCAAACACAAACATGTGAATGCATCAAACACAAACATGTGAATGTATCAAACACAAACATGTGAATGCATCAAACACAAACATGTGAATGCATTAAACACAAACATGTGAATGCATCAAACACAAACATGTGAATGCATCAAACACAAACATGTGAATGTATCAAACTGCAGAAGTCTTTCCCTGGAGATGTGAGTATTACTGACAGTTTAGATAACAATAACTGTGATAAATCTAGGAAGCCGTGCTGGCAAAGTGGCTATCAGCTAGTCTGCTTTCCTTAAGCTATGGCACTCGGAGAAGCCTAAAACAATTATACAAATCCACCTTTTAACAGACTAAAACCTACACTTCGACCTTTTCTTTGACTTCTTCAGCATTCTGAGATTCACTGCTACAGAAACCAACCACATCCAATTCATCTCTGTAGTTGGCCTTCTATTCCCAGTCGGTGGCTACAAGTGCTTTTAGGATCTGCATTTTCTTCTTCGTGTCCACCACCTGCAACTTCTGGCTGAAGTTCTGGTTGTTCATATACTTCTGGACTTTGGTCTTGTTCCAGAACTTGAGATTTACCTGGACACCCATCTGAACGATCTGGCTTATTTGTATGCAGATTGTTGGTTCCTTACCTCTCAGGCAGACACACTCAGACACTAAGAAATCACCCTTTATTGGACACCTTTAATGACATGCTCCTTAAGGGGAAGTGGGGCTATTCTCTTTTTGTTTTGTTTTCCAAACCCCAAAACCGGGGCCCCACATGGGAATGCATGTATACTGTCTACTCACCTCTGTTTGCTTGCCTCATGACCTACTGCCATTCAACTCTTCTGCAGCCACAGACAATACATACACAGCAACTACCATCATTGGCATCCTGTAACACTGCATGCTGTTGGGTCACCAGCTGCTGTTGAGTGTCTGATCAGCCTCCTCTACCCCTGTCGGTCAGATGTGACATGGTGGGCTGTCTCTTCCCCTCTACTGCTTCCTGTAGTACTGTTTCTAAGAGGCCGTTAGATTTTATTACATGTCGGTACCGTTACACTTTCTGTTTTTTCTCCTCTCTGTAGTTAAAGGAGGTTCATAGCTGCCAATGTGCTGGATATTTATACGGTGAACCACCTCAGAAACTATATACCCTATATAAATTATTTTACAATTAACCCATAACAGCTATACCAGAATAGAGGGAATTAAATGGTATGATAGAATCACTAATGTAGAGCTCTGAGAGAGAACTAAGCAAGCTTCAGTGGAGCAAGAGGTGAAGAAAAGAGGCTGGCATTGAAAAGGACACGCACTTGAGAAAATCGGTGAACAATATAACTAGAATGTCTCTGAACTGGAACCCGCAGGGGCATAGGAATAAAGGAAGGCCAAAAAACACATGGAGTAGGGACCTGGAGAGTGAAGATAGAAAGATGGGGAGGACATGGGGGAGAGCTGCATGCGATAGCAAAGGATAGGACGACTTGGCATGAGCTGGTTGAGGGCCTATGCTCCACTGGGGGCTAGAAAGGCAGAAGAAAAAGAAGCTACACCAGATAACAAATTCTCACCGATGTTTCACAAAAACAATATCCTTCTGGTCAGCCTGCTTAAATATGGCCACCTCAAGACTGGCTATCTCTCGCAGCTGTTGGTTGCTGGTCTGTACATAGAAAAAGTCAGCATTTTTAAAATTTTTAATGAAATAAAGACAGCTTCCAGAATGCAGACATGTGCATATCAAACACATTTTTCTGTTAGTGCATTCAAGGCTGCACATGTCTCTGCTGCTATATGCCGGCACATTTTTCTGTTAGTGCATTCAAGGCTGCACATGTCTCTTCTGCTATATGCCGGCACATTTTTCTGTTAGTGCATTCAAGGCTGCACATGTCTCTTCTGCTATATGCCGGCACATTTTTCTGTTAGTGCATTCAAGGCTGCACATGTCTCTTCTGCTATATGCCGGCACATTTTTCTGTTAGTGCATTCAAGGCTGCACATGTCTCTGCTGCTATATGCCGGCACATTTTTCTGTTAGTGCATTCAAGGCTGCACATGTCTCTTCTGCTATATGCCGGCACATTTTTCTGTTAGTGCATTCAAGGCTGCACATGTCTCTTCTGCTATATGCCGGCACATTTTTCTGTTAGTGCATTCAAGGCTGCACATGTCTCTTCTGCTATATGCCGGCACATTTTTCTGTTAGTGCATTCAAGGCTGCACGTCTCTTCTGCTATATGCCCGCAAATTTTGGAATGGGAAGAGCTTAGAATCAGCGGTTATGGTTTTTGAGTCACAAGTTGCAAATATCTTTCAGATATGGTTTCTGAGTCACAAGTTGCAAATATCTTTCAAATATGATTTCTAATTCCCAAGTTGCAAATATCTTTCAGATTTGATTTCTGATTCCCAAGTTGCAAATATCTTTCAGATATGATTTCTAATTCCCAAGTTGCAAATATCTTTCAGATATGGTTTCTGAGTCACAAGTTGCAAATATCTTTTAGATATGGTTTCTGAGGCACTCGCTGCAAATATCTTTTGTCAACCATAGTAGAAGTAAGCTAAGGATACTTTTTGTGCCTATGGCGCATAAGACTCACAGAGCTAGACCTATATTTGTACATACAACAGCTACTCAATAGGCGATGTAGCCCCCTTTACTTCCAAGAATATTTTCTGGCAGATATTTTAGGCTGGGTCAATCTGGGAGCCAGGGTAAATTTTGAAAAAATGTGCCTTGACGGAGATTTAAACTTCTGATCTGCAAGTCAGCAGGCGACCGTCTAGCAACTAAGATCAGAACGACAAAAACCACCTGGAATTAATAAATAAAAGTAAAACATAAACAATGAGTATCACGATAAACATATGGAATGAAAGAGTACAAAGACAGAATAACGAAAAAGTACCATGATAAAATGACACAATGAAAGAGTACCATGATAACATAATGAAAGAGTACCATGATAAACTGACATAATGAAAGAGTACCATGATAAACTGACATAATGAAAGAGTACCATGATAACATAATGAAAGAGTACCATGATAAACTGACATAATGAAAGAGTACCATGATAACATAATGAAAGAGTACCATGATAAAATGACACAATGAAAGAGTACCATGATAACATAATGAAAGAGTACCATGATAAACTGACATAATGAAAGAGTACCATCATAAACTGACATAATGAAAGACTACCATGATAAACTGACATAATGAAAGAGTACCATGATAAACTGACATAATAAAAGAGTACCATGATAAACTGACATAATGAAAGAGTACCATGATAAACTAACATAATGAAAGATTACCATGATAAACTGACATAATGAAAGAGTACCATGATAAACTGACATAATGAAAGAGTACCATGATAAACTGACATAATGAATGAGTACCATGATAACATAATGAAAGAGTACCATGATAAACAGACATAATGAAAGAGCACCAACATAAACAGACATAATGAAAGAGCACCAATATAAACAGACATAATGAAGGAGCACCCAAAAAAAAACCAGATAAAATAAAAGAGAATAAGAGAATAAGATCACCCAGTTGTGGCACAGTCGTGCCTATACATCCCCCAAGAAATAGATGTGCCTAAGTCGGCCAAGTTGAATGAATATAGTTCGTAGCTCTCTTCAATCGTACTCAAGAACAAGGCCAGTGATGTAATCAATTACACAAGAGCTGGTTTATTTACAATATTCTCGTCACACAGACTTCATAAATTCAATAAGCAATAGTATATGAACACTCCTTATTACTGGCTATTCGTATGCCTCTACGAGTTCCTTAACCACTGTTATGGCTAAACTCCAAGTTCAACATATGCCTTCTAAATGAAGTAAAGCACTAGTTTTCTCCTAACCGGTCTTTCCAGCGGTTCAGCCCTAACCTGTCCTATCAAGCGGTCCCGGGGCTAACTCACTGTTCTAGCTAAACTCCAAGTTTAACATATAAATTCTAACGAAGTAAATCACTAGTTTTCTCCTAACCGGTTTCTCTAGCGGTCTAGCCCTAACTGTCTTCTCCAGCGGTTCCGGGGCTAACTGTCCTCTCCAGCGGTTCCGGGACTAACTAACTTCTCAAGCCCCTGGCTCTGACTTTATTCCACCGCTTTCCCGCTCCTCCTGGCGTACCATCTTAATCACTTCCCTGTCACCTGTCCTTGGTGGTCACGTTTGGATGAACGTATCTCGTCAGTTGGTCACAGCTCACGGGTACTCGTCGAATGTTTCATCCCTCACTGTCAGATGTCATGGCGGTGTGTTCTGCATAGCTGGCTAGGCCATGGCTTTCTAATCACCCATTCTGTCATTTCACACAGTGATGGATTAGTACGCCGTGTGGTGGTCTGAAATGTATGCTTGTTCATTTAACCCCTTTCTGCCTATACTTCATTACACAGTCAGCAAGGCATTTGATGGTGAACTGACACAATGAAAGAGTACCTTCTGAAGCAGCTTCATGGCTTTGACAGCCTTGTCGGCCAGCTCACAATGGTTTTCTGCAGGACCTCTGTGAATGAACACAACCACAAACATTTGTGAACTTTGTGCAGAATATTTCTACAAATGAATTACCACCTGTGTTACAAATACCAGATGTGGTTCACTCACAACAGTATACAAGTGCCTGTCTACACAAATTTCCTAGTACTCTGCCAAAGATGTCCACTCAGCCATGCAGCTGATCTCAGAAACAACACTCAGTCACATATAAAAGATTTTACAACTTGAAAGAAGAAATAGATGTCACGTTAGCTAAAAATCGTCATTTTATAACACTAGATTTTAAAAATTAAAAAAATTATATCTATTTTGGTGCTTTTTAAATATCCTACCCCAAAGGGGAAATCCACAGGTCACGGGACAGTCTAAAATTTCAGGTGTTGGTAGAAAGGCTGCATGCAGTTATGGGACCTCAGCTACACTCTCTCGTGGAACGTAGGTGGGTTGGGGTTAGGGCCAGTTCTAGATGTTTTGAGGTCGTAAAAAGCATCAGAAAGCTGGGAAACCCAGTCTTACCACCCTCTAAAATGTTGGACTGTCCTGTGACCTCATCTAGGGTAGGATATTATAAAGAACCCTATATTTTGTTTGTTTATGCCTTTGCTGTGATCAGGTGTGTGCAAAAGATTTTTCCCATTATTCATGTCTGCTCGTGTGAAGAGTTTAAAGAATGTTATTCAAGAGGATATACAATCAACCAGTCTACCAACATATTTTTCTTTTTAAACCACACCCAAAAAACAACAACAAAACTGAATAATTGTGTAAACACACATACACACAAATCAACGAAGCAACAAGGATATTATTATAGTTCACATTATGTACATGGCATTGGTAACCATATATGTCAACAGCCTTCTGTCTCATGGACTGTCAATCATTTCTGACACAGGTGTTCTTTCAATCTTCTTCTTCTTCTTTTTTCGTCTCACTCACACCAGGTTGTAGCCCACTGTCGTGGTTTTCTGAATTTGTCTTGCACTTCTCGGGTGGTTTGGGTGATGGATTTATTCATCTTTTTTGCATCATTTATCCATCCATTTCTTGGTCTGCCTCTCGCCTTCCTACCAGATGTACTGATGTAAAAAGTCTCATATGCAGTTTGTTCTTCCAATAATAATGCTAAAGTTGAATGAAAAGATGCATCAACCATGAACAGAAACAGTAACATAACTAACTTGAGAATTCCTGTTAACGTCTTCTCCCTGGCAAAGCTTTCACCTACATACTTCAGCAAACGCCCACCGGCCAGGAACATCACGTTCATTTTGTTCTTCTTGCCTTTCTCTGCCCCCAACAGCTTAATGGCCTGCATAGATGATTTTAAAAATATGCCATATGAACCAGTTAAAAAAACCAAATAAATATCATTTTCAGAATGTATCTTACCTTTCTTCTTCTTCAGCAATCAACTATTGCTATGCACCTAATTCAGCATGGATCACAAACGGGGTGGTGTGTTTGACTGAAATCTTTACTAATGTCCAGTAGTTTGTCTTGCAGCAAGGACTAACAAGGCCTTGGCAAATTTGTAAAACAGGCTTTTGCTTTCGTACACCGCAACTACATATGACAGTGCCAAAAAGACTCAATCAATACAGGTGTGCTCTGTCAAACAGATGCATATGCAATACCCAAGTTCTGGAACAGGACGGCAGTCCAGAAGTGGACAAACAACCAGAACTTTCCACAGCTGGTGAACGCGAAGAAGAAGAAGTAGGATATTATCTCGAAAGATGGAAAGTGCCAACGACATTTTTACTGTCAATGTGGTGGTATGTAATTGTTTTCTTTTGTCCAGTTCATCTTCCATGGATTTTTGTGTTTGGTAACCTTCAATAATGACAGCTCTTTAACTATTATAATAAAAGCCTACACTAAAAATATGTGTGCACTTAAGCAGAACAGTCGCTGGATGCTTGCCCGTGGCCTGAAAATCTAAAGTTCAAACCTGCACCAAGGCAGATTTTTATAACTGACAGTACAGAAGGTCTCCAGTCAAAAATGGGTACCAGAAAAAGTCTGGGGAGTAAAAGTAGCCAGCATTTTGTTGACTCCATCAACCCATAGGGTACCTACCCCATGGTCTATAACAACATGGTGTGTCTTCTTTTTCTTCTTCTTCTAGCCTTAAGGCATCAGACAGAGAAGTTATATGTAGTTTCCTGTCTTTTGCTTCAAACTTAGCTTGTGTTAATGTCACAGTGGGCTTCTGTAGTGTCTCTTCTACTCACTTCACCCATCTCTTTCTTTGTCAGCCTCATGTCTTGTAGCCTGTTGTTCTCATTCTGTACACTCTAGCTGCAGGCTGATTTTGTTCCAGTCTGACCAGATGACTAAACCATTTGATTCTTTGATGTTCCCTTAAATCATGTATCGGTTCTTATGCATCAACTGGGTCAAGATGACTTCTCTCTTTTTTTTTTTTTTTTAATGAAGCATACCTGAATATGTGACAAGTTTGATATATGTGTCCCACAACACAAAGCACTATCTATTCCTTCAATGGTGAGGACTCGAACTGGCCCCTCTTGATCTGCTGGTAGACCAAGCCCTCGAAACTGAAAAGATGAACATGAAAATACCATATCCTAAAATATAAAAAATAATAAATTTTTACAAATAAATGAGGTTATTAACATAAAGATGCATTATTCTAAATGATATTTAACAGTGAAATATATTATGTACATTGCTAAAGAGTTACTGAAAGAAGAAAACAAAAGACGTGCAATCTTTCAGCCACTAGGCACTTTCACCCTGCAATGCCCCCAAAAAAGGATGGGGGGCGGGGGAAGGGTGATGAATCTGCAGAAATTCCTGAAAATAATCCTTGCAAAAACCAAAAATTTTATACAGGTCACTAATAATTTTGTTTTTTATTTATTTACATTTTTTTTTTTGGGTTAAATATACAAAGATATACAAAGGAAATAATCTATAAACATGAACAGAGTGAAGCATTAAATAGAATAAATTGTCCTGGGGCCTAAAACAAAAATCTACTGGATGAGTCTGTGAGCTCTATCAAATGAGGAATTAAGTGTGGATCCGGCAAGGAGGGAGGGATGAGAGGAAGAGATCGGTGTGTGTAAAATCAGTGTGCTATGGGAACAGTTAGCATCTACACCTTACTCCATTTGCTGTGGGAGACAGAGCATCTATGGGTGTACCCGGTGTGCTATGATGTTGATTCTTCAGTGACCGTCGGCTCTGGGGCTAAGTCGATGCGAACGCTTCGCTTCGTAATGCCGGGATGCCAGGTTCAATCCCAGCTGCGGGCCATGCGCCTTGCGTTGGTTTCTACAGTGGTATCAAGAAAGCCGACCGTCCAGAAGCAATGGCAAACTACTGGATGTAAATTGCCTAGAGAAACCACACAACACCCAGGGGCTGTTAGGGTTGGTTCTGCAACGTCCTGTAAAGGATACGCAACTAACTAATCAGTGACCTCTAACACTGAGGACTACAGATAATGTCAAGTCAACATAGCTTTTAAAAAGCTGTTGTAGTCGTAATGAAACCCCTAAACTATTTTAGTCAATATATTCACCTCCAGGCCTCCTAAACCACACACAGAACCAATGGAATTTAATTTGAGAACATGTCAATGCAGAAATGCCGATACATCAACATTTAGGGGACTATGTCACAACCAGAAGTGAAGAGCCAGAGAGTTAAAGGGTAAAATGAGCTTATAGAAACCGTGCTGGATATGAAATCTGAAGGCTGGCGAGTAAGAGATAGACAGTGATACAAAAGGATGAGTGACCAAACAGAAGTTTGAGACAGTGTACTACAAGGGTGAGAGAGACAGTGGGCTGGAGATGCACTGCAGCCAAACTTCAGTGATACAACTTCTTCTTCTTAACATTCACAGCCTGTAAACTCCAGTGGAAAGTCCTGGTTGTTCATCAACTTCTGGACTTTGGTCTTGTTCCAGAACTTGAATTTTGTGTGCACATTTGTTTTACATATCTGGCTTATTTATTTGCAGACTGTTGGTTTTATATATACATGTACACACTTAGATACGTTATCTGACACACTCAAGTTTTCACATTTACATTCAGATCAGTTATCTGACACACTCAAGTTTATACATTTACACACTTAGATCAGTTATCTTACATACTCAAGTTTATACATTTACACACTTAGATCAGTTATCTTACATACTCAAGTTTACACATTTACACACCTAGATCAGTTATCTCACATTCTCCAGTTTACACATTTACACACTTAGATCAGTTATCTGACACACTCAAGTATTCACATTTACACACTCAGATCAGTTATCTGGCACACTCAAGTTTATACATTTACACACTTAAATCAGTTATCTTACACATGCAAGTTTATACATTTACACACTTAGATCAGTTATCTTACATACTCAAGTTTATACATTTACACACTTTGGTCAGTTATCTTACATTCTTAAGTTTACACATTTACACACTTAGATCAGTTATCTTACATACTTAAGTTTATATATTTACACATTTAGGTTAGTCATCTTAAACACTTAAGTTTATACGTTTACACACTTAGATCAGTTATCTTACATACTCAAGTTTACACATTTACACACCTAGATCAGTTATCTCACATTCTCCAGTTTACACATTTACACACTTAGATCAGTTATCTGACACACTCAAGTATTCACATTTACACACTCAGATCAGTTATCTGACACACTCAAGTTTATACATTTACACACTTAAATCAGTTATCTTACACATGCAAGTTTATACATTTACACACTTAGATCAGTTATCTTACATACTCAAGTTTATACATTTACACACTTTGGTCAGTTATCTTACATTCTTAAGTTTACACATTTACACACTTAGATCAGTTATCTTACATACTTAAGTTTATATATTTACACATTTAGGTTAGTCATCTTAAACACTTAAGTTTATACGTTTACACACTTAGGTCAGTTATCTTACATACTCAAGTTTATACATTTACACACTGGGTCAGTTATCTTACATACTCAAGTTTATTTATTTACAAACTTAGGTCAGTTATCTTACATACTCAAGTTTATACATTTACACACTGGGTCAGTTATCTTACACACTTAGGTTTATTCATTTACACACTTAGGTCAGTTATCTTACACACTTAGGTTTATACATTTACACACTGGGTCAGTTATCTTACATACTCAAGTTTATTTATTTACAAACTTAGGTCAGTTATCTTACATACAGAATTTCTGAAATGTTGGTTCCATCTCTCTGTGTATCTCTGTTAGTGTTTTACCCTACAACATCAGACATTTTATCACAGCTCTGGCATCTGTGGTGAAACATTTTTGCAGTAGATCCGGTCAACAGGGTGTACCCCATGTGCCCCATACCGGAAATACATTTCAAAGGTTCAACTGTAAACTTCTTACATTTAATTATAATAGAATGAGCTATAAATGTGACAACTTTTTTTTTCTTTTTTGTGTGTGTGTGTGGTTACTAAAATGACGAATATGCTCGGCGCGGATCGGAAGGTCGTGGGTTCGCTCCCTGGAGGAGCCTGACTTTTTTTCAAAAATTACCTTGGCTCCCAGGTCGACCCAGCCTTGAGTGGGTACCGGGTGCAGTCCCGGGAAAGTAAAGGCAGCCGGCGTGATGCTGACCACATCACCCTCCTGTGCCAATTGGTCTATAAAAATATAGGTCTAGCCCTATATACCTAAAGGCGTGGAAAAAGGTCCTTTACTTACTTACTTTTTTATAATGACGAATCTCTGACACTAACATGACTGTGTGACACTGGAGTAAAGCATGGTCAAACACATCAATGCCGCCTTTGAGGCTGCGATAGGAGACATTATAACCAACTTCTCATGGGAACAATTAGTAGAAAATTTGGAGTTAAAAATCTATTCAAAGTATTTCAGGATCCTGGCCGGTGCTATGGAATTCGTGCACTGCACTAAGATTCTTCAAACTCAGGTTTGAGTCAGAGTAGAATGGAGCACTTTTGGGTTACTACCCGTGTGCCTTGATGTTGATCCGCTGTATAAACCAAACCAGTAGAAGTACCTTGGAGTGGATGCTGCATCGGAGGACTGAGCACGCAACGTGCAGTGATGTCGACGGTGATAACATAACAAAACACACCTTGATCAAATATATCCATTTACATACTTACATCCGTTACCTCAAACACCTAAATTTATACATTTACACATTCGGATCAGTTATCTTACACACAAATGAACATTTTGTATACATTTCCGCACCTTTTTCAGTTCAGGATCAGTTTTGTCACCATACAGTGTTACAATAACAGGCACACAGTCCCGTATTTTCTCATTAGCAGAAGTTTCAATGTCCCTGAGTTGTTCGTCAGTTACCAGCGGCGTGTCTAGTTCAATGGTGACAATGTCTGTGACAATGTTCCTGAGGGTGGATATAAGAATGGGAGTTCTCTTCAGCTTGAATGATTCTCTCCTCAGAATATCTGTTAACTCTTTCAGTCCTAGCAGGTATCACTTCTCTTTTTGATTCCTAGGTAATTTTCACCTACAGTAATAGTTGTTGTTGGGAGCAGCGGCTGGCCGAGCAATTACAATGTCGGCCTCTCTTGCGGGAGACTTGAGTTCGATCCCCATTAAGGTGATGGAAATTTTCTGTGAGGGGCAAAATTAAACACCCTAACCTGCACAGACCATGGTGACGGCACTAGCCAAGTGGCCCTAAATCCTCAGGCTCAAGGCCTACCCCCTGTCTACACCACCATAAAAAGTGACAAAACAGACAGCAGTAACAGCTTTTATCTTTTTCTTTCTTTTTTTTTAGTAGAAGTTTTTTTTAGATCCAGTGGGGTTAAAATAGCCGCAATAAGGTACCAAAAGGGTTAAAGTAACATTTGGACTGACAAATGTTATTATAACAGCTACCTGGGGAACAAAGTTCTTAGAAAAGATGTATCGTGTAAGAAGTAGCCAGTAACTGCATGGCGAATTGACAGGGACTGAATCAGGTAATAATTAACTCTGTAATTTTACTCTGAACAGACAAGAAGGCAGACAGAATGAGCAGGAAAGCAAGAGAGAGTGACAGCGAGAAAGACAGGTGGCAGCACAGATGATTGGATGGATAGATTAATGAACCGACAGACGGCCGAACAGTCAGACTGAAATGACAGATAAATAACTGGACAAACAAATGGACGGACAGATGGAAGTTTAGATCAATAGCCTAATAGATGAGCAGAGTTGGCAGATGTAAGGAATGATGACTTTTGGATGTGTCAAGGGAATTCAGGTGAACTCGCTGAGTTTTCTGCGGATTATTTGTAAAGTAACCAAAATGCTACAGAGATATATAGAAAAGGTGAGTGAGAGACAGACAGAAAAAGAGAGAGTGAGTGAGTGAGTGAGTGAGTGAGTGAGTGAGTGAGTGAGTGAGTGAGTGAGTGAGTGAGTGAGTGAGTGAGTGAGTGAGTGAGTGAGTGAGTGAGTGAGTGAGTGAGTGAGTGAGTGAGTGAGTGAGTGAGTGAGTGAGTGAGTGAGTGAGTGAGTGAGTGAGTGAGTGAGTGAGTAAATCTATTTTTTTTAAAAGAGGCTACCATATAAAAAGCATTACTTAAAATCAGAAAGGGTGTGAAACTAGAATTACATTATAAAACTGAATGCAGTAATAACACCAGTACTTGCAATCAATTATAATGAACTGAAGACAGGCTGATTTCCACTGGAATGCTAACTGACAGAAAAGACCTGGGATTGCTCTAGCAATGATCCCAGTTTTTTTTGTTTCTGTTTATCTGAGCTGGATAGCAAATCTGCCTGTTGGCACCTTTCCATCTTCTCAGATGATAGTGTTATATTGCGCTATGAGGAGGCATGGGACTCACAGCCCATGGCGATGATGAGTGTGACTAACAAGACCCGCCCGCGTTAAGAAAAAATCTACCACGGTTATAGCATGCGATTTCAGGACCGCTGTTGCCAACATTTGTGTTTAGTCTGTTTCTTCTCAGACACTCAGGTCTCATTATTTCTTCCTTCATTCCCATTCTCATCTGATCTGCCCTCTCCACACAACAAGGTCTGTGGCATTTTTTTTTTTTGAGTCCACCTCAATGCCTGTGTTATTCATGTCCCGTCTGCACACATCTTTTTATCATAGTAGAGATCGGCTTAAACATCGTCCACCTGTCTTTAATTCACCACAGAGAATGTCCTTAGTGACTGCATCTTTCCCCATTGTTCAAGTGTGACCGAACCACCTGTGCCTTCGTAGACTGAGCACTGAGAAGACTGTTGCAATACCTGATCTTTCCAATACCTCAGTGTTTGTGATCTTGTCCTGCCACTTTTTGCCACGTCTTATTCTTAGTCATTGTATGTGAAAGCTATTTAGCCATTTCTCCTGGTTACTTTTTAATAAACTAACCTAAAATTGGTACTAGAAAATATCCTAGAAAATAAAGATGGCCAACACAACATTACCTGTCTTTTATTTTTCTTGTGCTCACTCTTAAAAAGACGGCTGGCATTTTGTGTTGTGGTTTTTAGCCTCTCTGGCAGACTTCAAAGGGGAAACCCTAATTAGTCAACTTTTAGGCCATGCTTGCTGGGATAGCAGGCCTATTATTTTTCTGTTTCCCCAAAATGGGATGCCAGAACCCACGGAGATTCTACCGACTAGCATCACAGGAAGGAATAGTTGGTGGCCCAAGGCTTGATAGGTGGCGCTACATGGTCATTTGTTGCTAACTGACTTTGTCAGCATCTGTGGTTTAGGCATTGCGAACACATTTTATAATTCAGAGGTATCGGGTTTTACGCCATCTGTGGGCGATTTTGCAGCAGACCGCCTTGCTCTGGTTTCGACAGAGATTTGGAGAGCCAACCATCCAGTAAGCAATGGCAAACTAATGAATGTAACAACTAACTTAAAGATGTCTTTAAAACAGTCCATCCACCATCTTCTTGGACACCCTGCAGATCTTGTTAAATGTGTTGTTTACTAATAATGCCCCTACCCCTAGGAAACTGTTGAACACCATCTCTTTGAGTGTCCAAAACTCAGCGAGACTAGAAGAATTCTACTCCCTCCGAGACCAGACAAGTGGAACACCTTGTTTGGAGGAAAAGAACAGCTTGTGAAAACATGCAAATTTCACTACATGGCATTGGGCCAGAGGGCAAAAGCTCATGGGCCGCTGGAAGGATAACAACAACAACAATAACAAAAACTAATAATGCCGCACTGTAACCAGATGTTTAATCATCTTCTACCTTCTGCCTGGTAATAAATATGTCATAACCTGCTGTTTCCATAATCTGTTTGATAATACTATGTCTCACTTGGTCTCAGATGGTTAAACTAACAGCTTCCCTAAGGCATCTTATCTTAAAAGTTCCTAAGTTAAAACATAAAGATGAGCTCATTCTATAAATTGAGCTATCAACAAGCAACAGACCCTGTATGCATTCCTGCACCTCATTTGATTGGGAAAAGGGGAGGGGGGGGGGTGGAAGCACTAACTATGTATGCTTTTGCTGTCAAAAGGCACAGCTATTGCAGTATAGTTGTAAACCACAGCACAAAATAGCAACCAGCCACATTTTGAGGGTGAATGTAGAAGAAGAAGAAGAAGAAGAAGAAGAAGAAGAAGAAGAAGAAGAAGAAGAAGAAGAAGAAGAAGAAGAAGAAGAAGAAGAAGAAGAAGAAGAAGAAGAAGAAGAAGAAGAAGAAGAAGCAGCAGCATTAGCAGAATAGTAGGCAGCAAGAAGCCCATAGTTAACACCAATCTGAACACAAAATCATCTAGATACTTACCATGATGTTGTCTTAAACCCAAACTTGTGGTCAGCTATGGCTGTGATCAAATGCTGAGCTAGAAACACAAGAAGTAAAACTCTTAAATATGTTCACTATACCTAACATATGTAAGTGTGTGTGTGAAGGAGGAATCAGGTGTGAATAGTCTGATGTGGGATGCAGAGATGCTGAATCACAGCTGCTGGGCACCAAGGAGAGGGTTCAAACTGGTGAAAACCTATCTACACCTCTCCACAAATGATCTAAAAACAATCGGGAGCCTGGTCAATGTTCGCACACTAATATTTTCTTTTAAATCTGCCTGAGCGGCAAGGAACCAGCTGTATGCACACATAAAAATCAGCCCAGATCTGTAAAACACATTCAACACTCAATTCTGGAACAAGACAAAATCCAGAAGTAGATTAACAATCGTAACTTTCCGCAAGAATTTAAAGCTGGTAAAAGCGAAGAAAATGCAAAAGAAGATGGAGAAGGAGGAGGAGGAGAGAAGGAGGAGGATGAGAGGAGGAGGAGGAGGAAGAGGAGGAGAAGCAGGAAGAGGAGGAGAAGAGGGAAGAGGAGGAGGAGGAGATAAAGAAAAATGAGATGAAGAAGAAAAAGATTAAGAAGAAGGAGAAGAAAGAGCGGGAGAAGAAGAAGAGAAGAAAAAGATGGTGAAAAAGGATGATCTGCTAAAGTTCACCAAACTAACAAAATGTACATCTACATAAAGTAAAGAATAGGTAGGTCCACAGCAGATAACTGTTTTTGGGAAGTGAAGTGGACCACGAGGTGAAGAAACAATGCTAGTGTTCTGGTGTTAGATAGGACATACAGTTAGAAAACCTGAGAACAATATCAGTATAAGGAAACAGGAACCCACACAGGCAAAGAAATAGAGGCCTACCAAAAAAATACATGCAATAAATGTGTGCGAGATGAGGAGTGGGTCAAAGTGTCCGAGCACGTTTCAGAATTGTGTAGGGTTCTTATCAACTTTGAGTCGTGAGTGCAGGGACTGGCCAGGTGGTGCTGCATAGTCAGAAGTTTATCAATTGATTCATAACAACTCCTGCCCAAGTGATATGATTATCTCTACAGATGGCTCTCTGTTATGGGGCAGAAGAAGTACATGGGGGTTCATAGACAAAGTGAATGGACGTGGCGTGTGCTTCAAAGCCTGGCATATGATATCACAACGCCTAGTTTGAGAATGGAGATGGGGGCATTAACTGCTGCAATCTGCTGGCTTGAGAATCAGCTGTACACACATGCTGTGATTGTAACTGATTCACAGAGCGTGTTGAGAAAGGTAGAAATAGGTATGCTCCGTGCAGAGTGGCAAGCATCACTTCAGAGGTCCCGGGTAGTTAGCATCCTTTGGATATTCTCTCCAGGTTATGCCGGTGTGTTGGGAAATAAGCAGGCAGATAGACTGGCCGGTTCTGCACCACTTGATGGTGAGATGATGTATGACAAGCTAGATGCTGTGAGGGTCAAGAGCGAGTGAACAGTGCAGAAGCGCAAACAGATCATTCTTGTCTGAGGAGAATCTGGCTGATGCTCAACACTCAAGGGAAAGGCGAGACGGGTATACAATCAGAAAGTTACTGGTGCCATCAGAACTGGAACTCTTTGTTTGCTGCTGAAGATGGGGACGGAGCACTTAGGGGGTATCCCGAGTGCTATGATGTCAATTCTCAATTCAACATTTAACATTCAAAATACATGCAGATGGGAATCAGAGAGTGAAGTTACAAAGATGAGGAAGACAAGGATGTAAGTTACAGCAAAGGATAGGACAACCTGTGAGTTAGTTAAGGACCCATGCTCTGTTTAGGGATAAGGGTAAAGAGGGGTCAGGTTCCCACTTTTATTAGAATGGTTTTAGACACTAGACTTGAACTCTGTCTCAAAATCCCATAATTAGGGTAATCATAAGTGCCGTTTTTGTCGGGTTGTTCTTGTTTGTTTGGTAGGCCCAGAATCTCCCGTCCATACTTACTGTCGACTGGAACAATAGGATTTTTTTTGTTTTTGTTCCAGTTCGTTGAATGCTGAATTAAGAATCAACATTATAGAACTCTGGACATTCTCATAAGCACTCCGTCCCCATATTCAGCAGCAAGCAAAAAGTTACAATCCCGATAGCACCAGTAACTGTCTGACTGTACATCAGTCTCGCTTTTCCCTTGATTTGCTGAGTGCAGTCTTGGGGCTACCTAAAAGATGATACTGTCCTGACGACATGGTCATAATACAGTGTGTCAATGGGTCACTGGCTGCTGGTAAATGTGTGATCAGTTCTCTCCAACTTGTCAATCAGAAGCAGCAAACTTGATTTTTGCATATTTGAAGCCTTTCGAGTTAGCCAAATTCTGAATCCAAGTCTTTCCTTTCTTAGTCTGCCTCTTCTCCTCTTCCTTTTTCTAGAAACCTAAAGTATTGTTTTACAGAGTCCAGTAGATTTTGTTTCCTGTCCATACCATTACATTTTAGAGAAGATCTGAGGAGCTGATCCAGACCAAAGTCATGGCAGGTAAGCATATCAACCACTGTGCCGAAGTAGCCCTCTAAATCTAGAAAATAGAACACATTCTTCTTCTTCTTCGTCTTCTTCTTCTTCTTCTTCTAACTCATGTTCACCAGCTGTCCATGTTCGCCAGCTGTTAACTCCAGTGGAAAGTCCAAGCTGTTCTTCCAAGTTCCAGGATTTCAGTGTTGCATGCACATCCATGCTACAGCTCTGGTTTATTGTATGCAGACTTGACGTTCCCCTAATTCTCAGGCAGATGCACTCCAACTTCGAAGTAAATGATCATATGGAGGATGTTCAGATTCTCTACAGCGACCTTATTTCTAGGATAACCACAGTGATATAGACAGGTCTTGACAAGTTTGAACCCTAGCGCACCAACTTCTGCACCTCTGCATCCTGCACAAATACAAACCTGTGTGTTGCTGCATGTGATCAAATCTACGCTGCCAGTCTACTTTGAGAAGAGCATCGGAATTTTCTGGAATCTCTGCCTCAACAAAGTGAACAGCCTCTTTACCAACTCTGGTTATGCGTAGCACTGGTATATCGTTTATCTACAGATGTAAGAAACATTCATAAAACAAAACAAAAGAGTTTTAAAAAACATATTCCATTCAAGGCAAATACTAAAAGAGGAAAAAGATGCAGAGCATGAAGCAGACCAAGAATAAGATGGACAGATAACATCAGAGAAACTCTAGAACAGTACAATGTGACTGAGGCAGCCTGAAGCGCAAGAAGCAGAACCTTACATCGCCCTTGGTATCCGAAGCTGTAAAAGAGAATGTGAAGAGAAAGACATTTCAGTTAGCTATAAAGATGTGTAACTAAATTAAGGAAAGTTCTCAGTGTAAGATAGAAAAAAGAATAAACAGTTGGGTATGCTATCAAAAATGTGCAACAATAAATTAATAATACCAGCAATGCTACAATGAACAAATACGGCCAAAAATATCAGGCAATGAATTAAAATTTAACATTTTTAAAAAAAAATGATTTTTACCAACATCATACATCACAAATTCTGAGAAGAATCCTCATCAAGATTAGTGATTCTCATTTGGCGGTCCACAGAAACCCCCATGCCCCCTTTTCACAATGGCCCACAGAAAAAATTTAAGGGGTCGAGGATATCCTTTACAAAACTCCCTGTATGGTTTCCGGGGCCCCACTTTGATGAAAACAAGAACAGACCCCCTGCCTTCCTAAAAAGCATGTCAGAGAAGTCAATTAATTGGGGGATCTATGAAACGGATGTGCACGCAACACTCAGGTTCTGGAACAAGACTAAAGTCTGGGGGTGGATGAATACCCAGAATTTTCCGCAGGAGTTTACAGCCGGTGAATGCGAAGAAGAAGAAGATTTACAAACAAACGAACAAACAGAAACAAAAACAAATTTAGAATGTAATCCTTTCTGTAAATCAAAAATTTAGAAACTACAATAAGATTTTCCGCATGACTATTTCATTGAATGGGGTCTGCGGCACACCTCTGAAAATAAGAAGGGTGCACAGGGTTTAGCTAAATGGGAACAACTTGACATATATTCCTAGAGATAAAGGCCTTCATTATTTTAATGATGGCTTAACACCTAATCGAGGGCCACGTGGTGTAGTGGCTAGAGGCTCACCTGTGGGTCCGAAGGTCATGGGTTTAAATCTGAATGCAGCCTGACATTTTTATTTTCAAAAAATGACCTTGGCTTCCGGGTTGGCCCAGCCTTAAATAGGTACCAGGTAAGTAAAGGCGGCTGGCATGATACTGACCACATCACCCACTGAGAGCTGACTGGTCCATAAAATATAGGTCTAGCCCTATATGCCCAATACGCCAGAAGGTGTGGAAAAGAGTCCTTAATACCACCCCCTTCCCCCGCCCAAATCCCCACCCAAAAAAACACCTTCACTGTTCACAAGTGTGGATAAATCATGTCCGAGATGGATGAATCTCGCATCTAATACTCATTATGAGTCTTCTACAGGCTAGTTGCATGCTCAAGATAATCATCCACAAGAATATCATCTATATAAATAAAAATTTAAACGTTCCTTTGTTCAAAATATTAAATTTCCTAGTTCTTCACCGACTGCTTTGAAATTTTAAAATAACGTTGCATTTGAATGTCACATCTGTGACAGGTAAAATACATGCTTTTGTTTTTTTTAAAACAGCGCCATCTGTTGGACGTAAAAGCAACACAAGCTATACTAAACAGAAAAACAGAGCCATGTGTTGGAAGTAAAAGCAACACACACTATACTAAATATTTTACGATTCCACTTCAATGTTTCTGATTTATGATCCATGTACGATTTCCAAATTAAAAATTGTATGATTCCATTTCAATGTTTCCCATTGTAGTGTTAAATTGAATTTTCATAGACTGCGATTCATTTTCATTTAATTATTTTGTGTGACACTGCGTTGGAAGTGAGCTGTATTATTTACCATAGTGTTCACTATGTAAGTACAGTTTATTATTTCCTTTTTGTATTGTTTTTCTTTAGTTCATTTTATTTTAATTGTTTTTCTTATTTTTAAGTGCAATTGGCGGTGGAATTGAACTGTGTCGATTGTTCTGCAGTTGAACTGAAATATTTCATTAGTAGTTTTTTATTTTCTTTTTTTTTTTTTGTTTTTTTTTAGTTTGTGTTTTTTCCTTTGCTAATGTTTTGCAATGCTATATGTTTTTGTTGTAACTTTCTTTCTTCTTTTGTAGTGCAATTTATCGACTTTAGTTTGTCCGAATAATGCCTCCAACTTAAGTCGTTCTCACGGAGCGAAAGCAGTGCGAGGAGTAATTGCAAATGAAACTAAGGTGCACGGGCATCAGCGAAAGAGCAAAACAGACAAAAAATGGTCCCAATACATAAACACAGCTCAGGGCCAGTCTTTGGAACTGTGCGGTTTATATCTAGACACGGACTGCTTCTCACAAAGACAATTTAATGTTGCGTGTTTTAGAGTCTGCAAACCAGATAATATCTATATCTGCGCAGACAATGAAACAACAAAAAATATTGTATCCCCACCAGCAATTAAACATATTAAAAATGTGCGCTATCTCTTTTTTTTCTTTTCCATTTCCCCAGACTGAGCCACAGCAAGGCGTGGCCGGGTACAGCTAGTCCAAAATAAAAATCCAACAGTCTAGTCATTCAACTTGATGAAATCTGCCCATCCCTCCACTATATACACAAAATATAAACACACAGGCCCACCCAACACATAAAATATAGATGTGGTACAAATGCAATTGGAATGAGATAATATATAAACTAATCATTGATCAACAACATTTAAACAATTGCAATTGGAATGAGATAATATATAAACTAATCATTGATAAACAGCATATAACCTAATCATTGATCAACAAAATATAAACTAATCATTGATCAACAACATAAAAACTAATCATTGATCAACTTACCGTTCCTTTATCATCAGGCTGAAAATTTAAAAAAAAAGACATTTATTAAAACATTATCCTGAAGATAATATATGTTATTTCATTTTAAAAAAATGTCTTCTTCTTCTTCTTCTGTGTTAACTCTTAAAAGGATGGCTGGCACGTTGTGTTCTGGTTTACAGCTAGCTACAATATCTGCACCTTTCAACCCAACACATCCCATTTTAGCAAACTCTTGACAAGTTTGCTTTCACAACATGTTTGTTAGGGAGGTCTATCCCCCCCCCCTCCCCCCGCCCCTAACTCAAAAAGGGTCCTGGAATCATCTCAGGGATTGTTCATTCAAAGATCATCTTCAGCACACATTGGACTTGACCACAAGTGCTCCCATTAAAATATTTATATAAAGACAAATGCAAGAACGAGCTGAGTTGAGCTAAGAGCTGACACCCCAGCTACTGACTCGCATTAGCGTCCCATTCCCACTTTCACCGTGGTTACTGCAGGTTTTCAATATCTATGGCATCAGTTGCAGTCTGATTTTATAACGGACGTGAGACTTTCAGCTGTCTGCCAATCCAAAGATTCTGGGTTCAAATCTGAATTGAGTCAGATATTTGTTCAAAAATTGAATTTGGTCCCAGTCAAACATGAGTACCACGTAATATCCAAGGAGGTTAAGCTGGCCAGCCTTCAACATCATCCAACAAAGTGCCGACTGGTCTAGAAATATAGAAACTTTCTTTGTTTTATACGTCTGACTTATGGCCTCACTGGATTTAAGATCTTTAACAGAGGAAGGAGAGGTCTGGAACAAAGTCCAATCCTTGTGAAGGTGGTTGTTTCTTTATCAGGTCAAGAGGCAAGACTAAATCAGGGTTATTAGTCAACTGGCGGCAGTGGACCCGAATCTGGTCTGCAAAGACTTAGCAAGTGGCCAGTGGATCTCATGCCAGTTATGTTGCATTAATAATCTTCTATGCTGAAGCTCAGGGCTCTTGCCAGTGACGATCCCCATTGTCTTTATCTTGGCCCAAGAGTCACATACTTGAATGGAAATACTCTAAACCAATCTCATACTAACTGATGTTTTAATGTGGATGGTGTCAGTGACAGACTGTAACAGAAAGAGAAAACAAGGCTCTTAGTCTGAACAGTAGAAAAACAGAAGTAATGGTAATTAACAAAGAAAACTGACCCTCCAAAATGCAACATCAAAGTAAATGGGACAAACCTCCAGCAAGTTGATATGTTTAAATACTTTTGTGCCCTGATAACATCAGATGGAAGATATTTTAAAGAACTTAAATGTAGAATAGCTTAAGCAAAGGCAGCATTTTACAAAATGAAGAATATTTTATGTAATCTGTCTTTGTCAATTGAGGTGAAAAAGAGAATTCTTAAAAGCTAAAGAAATCCTATCTTGATATATGGAAGTGAATCATGGACAGTTGGTAGATTAGTGAAAAATTATTTGGAAGCTGCATGGTTTTATAAACGAATGAAGAGAATACCCTAGACAGATAAAAAGAGTAATGAGGATGTCTTGAAAGAAACTGTCTCATGAACAGAAATCATTTCCTACATCAGAAAGATACAATCTACATTTATTGGTCATGTGATGAGAAGGAGAAAACTGGAGAATATCATCACAGTAGGAAAGTTGGAGAGAAAAGGTAAAAGGAGACCGAGAGAATAGAGGCTGGACAGTTTTACATCACGGCATGGAGGAGCATCTGTGTCAGAGGTGATTCGAAGTACATAAGACAGAAGGTTGTAGAGAGACGTGACTATTATTGCTAGGATTTTAAAAAGAAGAAAGTCAGTTAAAACGTTAGTTTCGTATCCTTTACAGGAAATTGCAGAACTAACCCCAGCATTTTTTGGCTGTTGTGGTTTTTCTAGGCAAATTTACATAAAGTAGTTTGCCATTGCTTTCTGGATGGTTGGCTTCTCGATACTACTGTTGAAACCAAAGCAAGACGCAAGGTCCGCAGCTGTGATCGAACCCGGCACCTGGGCATTACTAAGCTCGTTCGCAACACCTAAGCGACAGATGCTGACAGTAAGAAAGTAAGTAAAGGACATTTTTTTCTTATGCCAGTAGCACATCGGGCGGTGCTTTTTTAATATCCTACCCCAGATGATGTCACAGGACAGTCCAACATTTTAGAGGGTGGTAAGACTGGGTTTCCTAGCTTTCTGATGCTTTTAACGACCACAAAACATATAGAACTGGCATTAACCCCAACCCACCTACATTCCACGAGAGAGTGCAGAAAAGGTCCCACGACTGCATGCAGCCTAGGTCCCACAACTGCATGCAGCCTATCTACCACCCGCTGAAATATTAGAATGTCCTGCGACCTGTGGATTTTCCCCATTTGGGGTAGGATATTAATAAAGCACCCATCGGGCATATGTGCTAGACTCATATGTTTATAGACCCACTGTGACTCAGTGGCTGATGTAGTCTACAACACGTCAGCCGTCTTTACTTTTCAGACATTTCCTTGTACCCATCTTAGCTTAGTCAATCTGGGAGCCAGATCAGTTCTGAAAAAAAAAATCTGAATGTGGATTTGAATCAAAGACCTTCAGGCTGGCAGGCAAGTGTGTAGCCACTATGCTACTGCGAAACACAATTTATCAATGCATCAAACTTTAAAGTTATAATTCACAGCTTTTATTCACAATCAACCCTTATTAGATACAGCAGATATATAGGAGGTCTATGTAAATAAAAGACGTGATTATAACTGACTCACAAAGCATGTTGAGGCATGCTAAGTGCACAACAGAGTAGCAAGCATCGCTCACGATTGGTTGGATATATGTCATTTTCAGTTTACGGGCAAGAAGAGCAGAACCCGCCAATCTATCAGCCTCTTCATTTCCTAAAACACCAGCATACCATAAGGAAAATATTCAACTGATATTAACTACCCAGGACCTCTGAAGTGATGCTTGCCACTCTGCAAGGAGCAAACCAGTCTCCAACTCTCTCAACATTCTCTGAGAATCAGTTATAAACACAACATATGTGTACAGCTGGTCCTCATACATTTCTTAGGAAAGAATGAGGTAATGTAACATTTGTCTGACCTCAGAAACACTTACTAAATCTACCTGTGACCTACCTGCCCCCCACCTTCAGGAAACAGAATGGTGTCATTAAGGATAACCTCATATCCCTGCACGGTTGTTTTCTTGCCATTCTCTACCAGAGCAAGTTTTGCTGGTTTGCAACTGGTAACTTTTGCATGCAGCTGAAACACAGGATCAAAAACCATTAATATAACTGCTACAATGAGTCTCAAAGGGAGTCGTCATGGTGTTGCAGCTAGATGCTTTTCTGCGGATCCGAAGGTTGAGGGTTCAAATTCAAACGGAGGCTGATTTTTTTTTTTTAGGTTTCATTGGTTCCCAGATCAACCTAGCTTTAAATGCATACCAGGTAAAGTCAGCAGCAGTAAAGGTGGTCAGCTGACCATAACACCCACTGAGTGCCGATTTGCTATAAAATTTAGGTCTAGCACCATATGCCCAATACGCCTGAAGGAATGGGAAATGATCCTTTTACTTTTTAACTAATCACAAGGAACAGATAGGACAGGATACTAACTTCATCCTAGGAAAAAGAAATGCAATCTTGAAAAGTCATATTATGGCAGAGCAGACCCGGCCTTTAGCCTTGGCTGGCAGCTGTTCTAGGAGTGAAGCTCTGAAAGGCAGACAGACAAAGCACGACTCTTCTGATCTGTCAAATTCTGTGGCATTACTTTATTCAAAATTTACTGGGGTTACCTTTTCTTTAGACTAAACAAGGCAGGCTGAGAGAGGAATCATGCTGCATGGCAACAAACAAGGTCTCTACAATACAGCTTAGGTGTTGTGCTATATAGAGAAGGGCACGTGTGCTCATTCTGGGTAGATTAACAATATGTCTTGAGGCCTTAATAAAATGTTTTGGCAACTCCAGACTGCACTTCTATATCTACCAACCTGGACAAAGATAAGAGTCAAGCTCATCGCTGTAATCATCCTTGCAAAATGCATATTGCATGTCACTGAAAACATTATTCCTGTCCACTGCCAGACCAGACCAATATAAAGGTATATACAAATGAGACATGAATGATATAGATATCGAGGTAGATTGATGGGAAAAAAATGCCATGGATCATGTTGCGTGCAGAGGACAAATCAGAAAGGGAATGATAATAAAGGAAAAAACAACTAAAGGGAGGATGAGAGCTTGAATGTTTGAAAGAAAGCAGATTAAACACATGTGATGACAACAATGGTCCTGCAATCTAATGTTCTAATTGTGGAAGACTTTTCTTAATGCGTACGGGTCTTGCTATTCACACTCACCCCTGCCATGGACTGTGAGTTCCATGCCTCCTTATAGCACAATATAACACTATAGTACGGAAAGATGTCACCCAGAATCATTATTAACTGAGCTATTATCACCTCCCCACTTTTTATCAGATTATGACAGATACTTATTTAATGTCTTTCAACCATGGAAGTGCAAACAATCATCTGCTGTGCAAGTGCATATCTGCAAGTCAGTGCTGACACACATAAACCATTTGACAGTGAGATTCACAGGAAGAAAGGCAGCAGGAAAATCTTGGATGGGTCAGGCTGAGGACATTTTCTTCAACAGATTTGTTCACTTGAGGACACTGAACCTGGTGAGGAATGGGTATGAGTGCCAGCAGAGTGGTGTCCATCCTTTTTAGCCTGCCTCAAACTAGACCTAGACTGCAGACAACACAACCCATTGGTAGTGCTAGTTCAACCCATGATTCTTGAGAATTCTGCTGACGGAGGTTTGGTTACTAACATCAATTGATCCATCATGCAAATTGTGCAAAGCTTATGGGCTCTGTTGGTTCTGGTTGGAAGAAGAACTGTAAAGAAAGACAGCGGTGCTTCTGTCTTGATTACAAGCAGTGTTGCTATGGAGGTGATGGCGGTAACAAAAGTAATGACCTGGCTAGAGACAAATCTGCACCCCATGTCTGCTTTACAAGTGATTCATTGAACATGCTTAAGACAAAAGAGACAGGATGGGTTTGAAGGAAATGACTGAAGTCTCTTATGAAATCTCGTCTGGGCCAGAACACTCCTGGGTAAGAGGGAACAAACAACGGACTGACTTGCTGATGGGGTCATGATGTGCACATGAAAGCAATGGACCAGGCGGATGTTCTCAATGCTCTGGGGGAGGCAGAATGAGTAGATGATGAATGAAAATATGGTAAACCGGCAACCTTAACAAGACTACAAGAACTTGATGTCATTAGAGGGGTTGTCAGACTTTAACAGTATTTAAGGCAGGTAGCGTAGCCATATACAAATAGTGGGCTATCCTCTGAATAAGGGTCCGAAATTATGGAGGCTGAAAATATACCCTAACAGGGCCTTAGTTACATGTCAATTGCGGACTTCCAGCGGCCACTGCCGAGAGTATCTCCCACCCAGCTACGTGCGGAGTGGAGCGGGGCTAAACTAGACTCACAAGCAAATAAAATGAAGGAAGCTGCAAGAGATGCCATCTAGTTAAGCTGCGCACAGCGGCATGGGAGATACTATTGGTGGTGCCGGTAGTCACCGGAAGTCCGCAATTTAAGTCACCAGAAGTTTGCAACTGATATGTGACTGAGGCCCTGTTAGGGTATATTTTCGGCCTCGATAATAGATAATATGGGACCGTTATTTGGAGGATAGCCAAATAGCGAACCAATGAAGAACTTAGAACAGGTGTTATCAGTAGTCACACGCTGAGAGGGATACTGAAGATGGGATCCGAGCGCATATGGACTCTTTCAATGATCGATCGATTAATTGCCGAACTTGTATACTGTACAATAACAATAAGTAACAACAACACTTAACACTGCAATAAAAATAATAACATTTAAAAAAAAATATCCATAGAAAAAAATGTAGAAAAAAAAACAATATATACAAAATCAAGCACTCATCTTAACTATGGAACTGAATCATTAAAGTGAACTTGTGAACTGAATAGTCACCTCCTTCAAGTAGCTGTTCTGCTGACACATAAAGCTCATTTCCGAAGTGTAAATACTTGAAATTGTAAAAGAAAAAAAATATATAGCAGAACTGTTACCCTGAGTTACATCAACCGGTTTGACTTTTGACCCGGACGCTATTCTGCTCTCAACGGCTGAGTAGTGAATATAATATTTCTACTAATTGAGAAAGGTTTGAATCCATAACACTCTATACACACACACACACACACACACACACACACACGCTGTCTTTTTGAAAGAAAGTTACCACTTTTTAAAAGCGTATATTTTGAAAATGACTCACTCAGATTTGATTTAATTTTCACATGTTACTTACTTAAAAATGGTAAAGCCGTGGACAGTACTTATTTGTCATCTTGCTCAAAGGACATGTTCATACTGTTCAGTCACGTGGACTGAGTTGATTTTTTTTTCTAACCATCGTTACATTTGAATTAACTACTGTGCTAGCACCGTGCCATACACATTGGCAGTACACCGTCACCATTTATAAGTATGTGTCGTATAGACTTCGAGAGAATGAAGACGATGGAATACATTGACAGAAAAATCGACAGATGCTTGTCATATAAGTGGCACGTAGACAATGTCATACTTAGAGCAAATTGAATCTCTCACCTGAATCTACGCACTTACACAGGCCGAGATATAATACATCTTAACCAACTCCTCTGAGGAACAGTTAGTAGTGGTACCCTGGAGTGGCTGCTGCATCGGAGGACTGAGCTCGCCTGGGAATGCCCAATGCGGAGTGACGACGACTGTGAAAAAAAAAATAACATAGCATCAAGCCGCTACTCACTGAGTGAGAAAGAAATCCCATCATATGCTACGTAAATGCTGGTACAAGAACTTCTAGTGTTGCACGAACATTTCCTTCTCCCGATTAACAGTCTATTGACTGCAACAATGTTTTCTGCTAATTGGAGCCACCTGAGACCTCCCAAGACCAGAAAGACCATGATTTGAGTTGAGTCAAGAATTGACATCACAGCACTCAGGAAATTCCCATGCATGCTCCATTCTCATCTTCAGCAGCAAGCGCAGAGTTCTAGTACTGATGGTACTGGTTAAAATCTGGTTAATTGTCTGTCTTGCCTTTTCTCTGAGTTTAGTGAGCCGGCCAGACCCTCTGGTTACACCCAGATTCCTCATTTTCTCTAGACCATAATAATAAGGAAGACCATAAGTGACAAAGCAAAGTTATGGCCTATTTATTTGCGGAATCGCTTCTATTCTGCTCAAAAGACAGCAGACACAAACATGTTTCTCTGAACGTAGTTTGAAGGAAAGAAACGTACATCCACTCCAACGTGTAAAACGCCCTCGACTTCAGCCACGCCACATCCATAAAAGACTTCAGTGAGCAAATGTACATGTCAGATAGCCTCGAAGGCAATGGCAGCTTGTCATGTTCTCACATGATTCGAGATTTATGATGGAAAGGCTTTGAACTTTGGTTGGGGGGCAGTACCATCGTATGAGGAGGAATAACAGAAAATGGTAGACCACAGCTGGTACCGTATGGGGGAACGTCACTAGGCCCAGGCACAATGTTCTGACACCATATTTTATGCCATTTTCCAGACCTCGCAGACAAGACTTTTACACACGACAATCCAACCCCTCATCGAGCGTCAGTACCACTGAATTTAGGTTGCAGAACAACATAAACATTCTTCGTCTATGGTCAGTAATTTCAACTGACTTCAACCATTTTGAGCAAGTAGAAGACATGCTTGACAACCAGGCCAAATTCACCTCAGAATTTGTTAGAGCTTGCATTTTCACACGCCTATGCTTAGAATAATCTTCCACAAATTGTAATCTGAAACGTACTCCTCTTAATGCAGTATCGCCAATTACTGCCTTTATGTTACCACTTTTGCGCTGTAGGCAGAGGGCCCTTTGAGGATTTTCGACCGCATAGCTAGTGCTGTCGCCACGACTGTGCAGGTGGAGGTTTTATCTTACCCCCGACAGAAAAAAAATCCCCAGCCTTACCGAGGATTCGAACCTGAGTCTCCCGCTTGAAAGCTCATCGTTCTAACCCTTCGACCGCTCCTCTGAGGAAGCCACATTCCTAGTTAAGCAGCATAACTTTTTATTTGGACTCCACCACCACCACCACCACCACCACCAAGACCACCACCACTATAAGTATAGGCTTGCCTATGTTTGATAAGAAAATTTCTTCAAAAGGCATGCCCTACTTCTTCTTCTTAGAGTCCATGCCTTGTGGCATTGGTAGTCCACAACCTTTTGTCTCGAGTATTTTCAATCATTTTTGACACATAATCTTCAACATCACGCTGTCAAACTGTCCAGCATCTGTTCTCTCGGTCTCTTTCTGTCCCTCCTCACCTCCAACTTTCCTACAGTCACGATGTACTCTAGTATTCTCCTTCTCATCACATGACAAAAGAATGAAGATTGTCTCTTTCTGATGTGGGCAATCAGTTCTCTTCGTGGGTTTCTTTCAGGACACTTCTTTCAATGTCCTATTATGACACTAATAAATAAAGATGATCAGAAAATTGTGTTGCAATCAGACACAAACAAAGCTTTTTCATCATCATGGGCCCTGCCAACTGGCGTAGGCGGTCATGCGTCTCCGCAGATCACGGTCCCTGGTTGACTGAAACAGCTGTCTTGATGATATCCCTCCATGCCATCGTTTCAGCCTATCTAGCATCAGCTCTCTTGGTCCCCTCTACCCCTTTTCCCTTTCCAGTTGTCACGATTTTCTCCAATGTCTCTCTTCTCATTGTGTGGCCAAAGAACAGTGTTTGTCTCTTTCTTATTGTTGTATATAGAGAGCTACTTTCATTAGCTTCTTTCAAGAAATCGTTGTTAGTTACTTTGGCCGTAACATTCGTCTCAGAAACCACATCTCTCTTACTTCCAAATTCTTCTTAATTTGTTCGCTGACATTCTAAGATTCACTGCCATACAGCATAACAGGTTCTATGTAATATTTTAGCACCCTCTTTGTTATTGAAAAAAAAAAATATATGAAGTGTCAACTTTCTTCGTGTAAGAGAGTATACGTATATACTCCCTAATAATGGGAGTGGGGTGGGAGTAGGTACTCGCAAATCTCATCGCCCACCCCCATCCCAAACCAATTATTTGTGTAGAACATTTTTAAGGTGGTGAGGAGGACGTGGGTGGGGAGGGAGGGGGTGGTCAATCTATCTAGAAAATTCATGTGTGCGAGGTAACGATGATACTGCCGCTCCTCTGTGCGGTGAACTACTTTATGGTAAAGCGGATGTGGTGACGGTCCTATAGAAAAAAATGGACAGTGCAACAAAACACACACGGAATCCATACACTGAAAGACTTATCAACCGGAAAAAAAAGGGGGGGGGTGAAGATATTCAACACTTAGAGCGGGAACACAGGCTGACTTCTAATCAGGTTGCAGCTGTTACTATTAGTATGTGAGTTATGAGTTAGATTGTCTTCCCAGCACTCCGGACACATCCATAGGCGCTCAGATTCCCCGCTCAACATATTCATCAGCGTCGTGCGGTTAATAGTACCAGTCCTATGTTGGTCAACAGGACTTCGTGTGCGTCCGGTGCGCTTCTTGTGCTTGGCGGTGCCGATTTTTACTCTTAGTTCGCGTATTATTAGCAGTGATGCGGACACATTGCTTCTAAATTCCTCAGAACGTCCTATTTCTCCAAGGGCAATGACAATGTCTCCGTGATCAATGGGCCGGCTATCTTCAATTAATGCAGCACCTGCCATTCTACCTGCTCTCTCCTTACTAACAACGCCTGCATTCACTGGGACAAATATGAAAGTAACTGCACATAGAGAAGAATTTTGCAACGACTTGTTGCATGTCAACTCCTCATTGGTTACTAAAGAAAGAGGCGCAGCATGTGTAGGAGGCCCGATTGCAGTAATGCCAGTTGTTGATTCTTTCTTGAATTCATTCATTCACTCATTCATTCGTTCTTTCAACTCAACCTAAGGCTGAACTGAGAATCAACCGGGAAGGCTAACCCGGTCAACAAATGCCCGCAGAAGTCGGATGTGTTGGCCGAAAGGTGCAAATATCGCAGCCATGCAGTAAATGGACACAGCGCAATTACATCTTAGGATGAATGCAGAAGAAGAAGAATTGAGAATCGACATTACAGCTCTCCGGACACTTCCAAAAGTGCTCAGACATCATCTTCGCATTCCGATGCTACCAGTAACTGTCTGATTGTATATCCATCTCATCCTTCCCCTGAGTGTTGAGTGTCTGTCAGATCCCCTGGTAACTCCTCGTAGCGTCATTCTCCGTAGACCATAATAATGTATCTGCGCCTCCGCACTGTTCACTCGCTCCCAAAGGGCCCTCACAATATGTAACTTGTCATACATCAATTCACCACCAAGTGGTGCAGAACCAGCCAGTCTAACTGCCTGCTAATTTCCCAACACACCGGTATAACCGGGACAGAATATCCAAAGGATGCTAACTACCCGGGACCTCTGAAGTGACGCTTGCCACTCTGCACGAAACATGCTTGTTTTCACCTTTCTCAACATACTCTGTGAGTCAGTTACATTTGTAGCATAAGGTTTAGAGGCTGACTGTTTTAGAAACAAACTTGTTGCACTTACGTGAGTGATTGCGACAAGTGTTGGGGAAACCTAACAGCACCGCTCAAAAACTGGCGCGTTAACGCGTGGTTTCAACCTACAGTAACAAATAACCAACAGTTGCAACGGTTCCCAATGGCTTTAAGAGTGTTCCAGCGATTCATAACAAAACGACCTCTTAAAGCATCAAAGCCATTTTGTGGAATTCTCTCCGCAAAGCCACATAAAGTCATCGTCCTGAAAAATGGGACAGAGAGAGAGTCAGTATGTTTGATGTCAGGGTTTTCAAAGAAACACGGACGACCAGCATCAGCAATATCATCAGGTAAATACTGTCATACATAAATAAAGTTTGAAGTTTTAACTTCTTCTTCTTCTTCTTCTTCTTCTTCTTCTTCTTCTTCTTCTTCTTCTTCTTCTTCTTCTTCTTCTTCTTCTTCTTCTTCTTCTTCTTCTTCTTCTTCTTCTTCTTCTTCTTCTTCTTCTTCTTCTTCTTCTTCTCTTCCACCTTGTACCTCATCGAAGTGTCGAGGGGAGATGTAATGTTCGTTGATGAGCTCTGTCAAGAGGACTATTAAGACTGATGTTCATTTCTGTAAGGCTGCTCTTAATGATACTTAATGCCATCACTCCATATTTTCCGAGGTCTTCCACTCGCTCTATACCCGTTGTAACGTTTTAGTGTGACTCGCTGTGGCGGATAGTACCAGGGCATTCTTGTTAGGTGTCCAAACCACTAAGACTGGCTTTATTCCTAGCATTCGTCTGATTTCATGATTTCGTATTCTGTCTTTCCTTGAAACTCCTGCAGCTCTTCATTTCATTTCTGTTGTCACAATTTTACGTTCATTGGAGGATGTAAGTGTCCATGTCTGGCATGGATAGCATAGTGTTGGCCAAAAAATAGTTCTGATAAGGTTCACTTTAGTACTCCTAGGTATCTGCTTGTGTGTCAACAGGGGATATAGTTGACCCAGTACTTGACTAGCTTTGGCACATCTGGAGCTAATTTCTCTGTCCAGTTTTCCGTCAGATGTAAAAATTGTTCCCAAATACTTAAATTCCTCTGTTTGTCTCAGGGTGTTGTTTTTTAATTTAATTTCTAAATTGTCTTGATGTCTTCCTATCACCATTGTCTCTGTCTTCGTAGTGTTTATTTTCATATTATATTCCTCCCCTTTGTTACTAATTTGATTTAGGTGGTTCTGTAGGCATTCCGTATGAAGTTTGAACAACAGATCAATATCATAACCAGCTATGGCTGGCCCAGTACTGGACAGAAGTGATGTTTCAAGTGTGTTACCGTACCGAGGAGCACGCCAAAGAACATGACTCCATATCCCTGTCTAGACTGATGGACATGGGGGGTGCAGTCTGGAGCTGCAAGAAATGAACATTTCACTAAGAGGACAAGATGTTTCATTAATTAACACAGAATAGGTTTAATCAGTCATTTTACACCTGTGGAGCTTCTGAGGAGGAGATCGGAGCACCTATGGATCTGTCCGGAGTGCTGTGATGATAATCCTTTCTAATCACTAAGTAACCCATAAATGCTCCGTTCTTAATTATAACTCAAGTCTGAGTCCGAAGAAGCCCAGCACAGTGCACAGGCTCTGTAGCACCGGCTAGGATCCTGAAATACTTTGGGTAGATATTTAACTCCAAATTCTGCAGCGCCGTTAGGCTACTCTTTTCGATTTCCAACTGCCAAGGAATTTTTTACGTGCAGAACTCTTTGAGTAGTCAGAAATGGACCTTCAAGTAATTTTTTTTACCACACAGTAGTAACGGACACTATCCCACGCCTTTAAGCGTATTAAGCATTTAGGGCAAGACCTATATTTTATTGACCAGTGGGTGGATGAATTGATGAACACCACACAGGAAGCCTTTATTTCCCAGGAACTTTTGTCTGGTGCCCATTTAAGGTTGGGTTAACCTGGGAGCCTAGGTCATTCTTTAAAAAAAGTCACGATCTGAACCCACGACATTAAGATTCGCAGGCAAGCGTCTAGCCGCGATACCACGGCGGCTCTCTCTACAGCAATACCTGGTTTGAGTCGTACTTTTTAAGTATCACGACCCGGATCGACATAATTTCCGGAATACCTCCCCTTACCGCGTTCTCTTGTATCTCCCTCCTCCACCACTCTGAATCGCCCTCCCGCCGCAGCCCTCACCTAATCCTCCTCCTCCTGCTGCTGCTCCTCCAAGCCCGGCATGTGCTCCCACTCCCGTGCCAATCGAATAGCGTGTGTACACGGAAGTGTAGCCAGTAGCGGAAACCCAGTTCCCGGTCTTTGATTGACCATTACTGGACCAAAGGATTTACTATCATGATTTCTCCCTTCTGCAACCTGTAACTGTGTTATGGCACAGGTTGGAATAAAGTCTCTGTGAAAATAATAACAGAACTCTCTGGTTTCAGTTAGTTGTATGAAGATGCAGAGTAAGTCAATCGCCACGTTTTGTTTAGAGTTATTACCACTAATTCATTATTTTCAGCAGTGTGAGTAGTACTCAATCTATTCTTCTATAGTTCTACAGTAACTACTGACTAGTAATTAGTAGTAGTACTTATTTATACTACTACTGGCACTGTAGTTTAGCTAAATAGTGTACATTATTACTTTACTCACTTAGTTACTAGTTAACTATTATTATAATGCTATGAATAATCGAAATAATTGCATGTTTTGACATCATTACTTTGTAGTTAGTGACAACTAAAGACATAAATAAAGAAACATCTTGTACTGTTTTAGTTTTTGAATTTTTTTTTTAACGGTCTTCTTTATCTAGCTATTATCTGTCTCGTCTTTCAAACTCAAACAGTTCAAACACTAACAGCCTTACATTTGCCTGTCTTTTGTGTATTCAAACTGAAATTCAATCCACATTGTAAATTTAACACATTTGTTTTCCTTGTGAACTCCACACAAATCCAGCATTTAATATTAAAGTTAAAGAGTTTAGAGTTTAGTTTCCTTGTATTTAAAAACTGCGGGGTTTTGTGTGTTATTGTGTTGTATTGTTTACAATTTGTTAGCTCATGATTAACCCAGGATGCCTATTCATATAATGAGATATTAATCATCCTCTGACTCACCCCTTTGCCTCACTAGTGTGCTAAAATGTGTGTTTGGTTGGTTTACATTTTGTATAGTTTTACTTTAGCCTTGCATTTTTATAAATGTTAAATATTACTATTGACATACTAGTAGAAAATAGTTAAGCAGTAGCTAGCAGTAATTTAAACAAAAATATCCTGTTCGGCCTTTATGATTATATTATTGTTATTGAGACATAAAAGTGTTCATTGAATTCTGTGTAATGTGTAATTATATATTTTTTTGTATATTATATAATTTTTTATTTAGAACACTAGAACAGTTATAAATTTTATTATGTAATTTATATTTTTTCAAATATTGCTTTGTTTACACCATTCTGTGTTGTGATAAACATAGAAATTGTACAGTGAATATTTAGATTGTTTCATTAAATTGGTGAATTGATTACGGCATTACACCTTTAGTAGTATAATAGTAATAATTGATTATCTTCATCTGTTGTTATTGGTAAGAAATTTCAGTAAGAATTTAATTACACTTACCTCCAGCAACATCCAGTAGAGTAGATAGTTACTAGTAGTAATTATACCGAACATATCCTGTTTAAACATTCTGTACTATAACCGAGACAAACAACCTTTTTTTCTTTCTTAACAAACGATTTATTGATATTCGGATTTATCAAAGTAATGTTTTCCATATTGTAAATTTAAACAAAGAAAAGGTGTAAACAATAGATTACACAATTTATTGCGTTTGATAATGATTATATTGAGTGTAGCTGATTTTTATTTCTGTTAAATGGATTCTATTATTTGCTTCATTTTAATCATTGTTTGTGGCTTCATGGCTTAGAAGTTAGTGAATACGATTGACAATTTCATGATCCTTGAGTTCGTCACTATCGTCATCCTTTATGTGCAGTTAGACGAATAATTGGGGAATAGCTGAAATCAGATATTGCATCCTAGTTGTAGATCATGACACCATGGTGCTGTATTTCACTGTATCTCATCCAGTTCATACTAAAGCATCATATAATTTTTCAAGATCAGATATTTTTGCTACAAAAGGTGCTGGTATTCCTAGCAGAATGTCGCCGGTAGATCGAGACAGTATTTGCGTGTCTCCTTTAATCGCATCAGCACTGCAGATGTGATTTTCAGTTCTTTTGGTGGCATGTATTGTTAATATTCTGTATGGAACACATAACCTAATCACAACTAATTCAGTTATACAACATCGCACAAACATTGTAAATAACGCAGAACAAAGCCATGTCATAACACCCCTCACAACATAGGACAGGCCCTGTGACCGGCAGCAGCATGAATGAGATGGGAAGTAACTCTCACAGAGCGGACACATGTGTCAGTTGTTTCATTTTCTTGGATAAGAGAATGAAGATAAGACAATATTGAATGGAATCAACATAATTGAACAGTGTCGCTTTCAAGACTTAGAGTATTTATAAGTGGATACATATATGAATGAATACGCCTTGAAAGAAAAATAACTTACAAAGAGAACTTCAAGTCAACATGGTGGATAATAGGCAGAATTACTATGTTTAGTAATGTCATTTGTTTGCTTCTGACGATAATAGTTAGTTCCCTCCATATATAGGCTAAAATGATATAGTTCCATCGCTTGGTGCTGCTGATGAAAGGCCTGGTGCCAGAGAACCTTACATGTGCAACTACTGATCTATCATAATTGCTGCTTCCATCAAAGATGAACATTTCTAGTGTTGGATAGTTTGTTGGCACCTCTGACTGCTACCTCATGCATTTAGTGCCTGTGTATGCTTTGATTTTGCTAAAACTGCAGTCTGTGTCCATTGTTGGGTACAGGTAAACATTAATCTCCCCACGCTCTGCCCATATTCACATTAGTTCACTTCTAATTAATAGTTCCTGACTTTTCACCTAGGCACCTTGGTTATAGGGGTGTTCTGCAATGTCGTTGATATCGCGTGATGTATATTTCAGCACATCAGCGATGTTAACACTCCACAAAAACATGGAGAAACTGGCCCTAGAGAGTGCTGAAACCTATGTCACAGGCATTCTCTTTCTCAGAATGAAAACGTAAATGCAAGATAATACAGAAAACAAACAACAGGGTGGGACACATCCGTAAACTTCAGGAAAGTCGACCAGCCCAACAAACTTATGGGGGTGACCCATTTGCAGTGGAATTGGATCTAAGGTTATCCGATTACCTAAAAACTGGAAAACCTTGGGACAGCAGGGAAGTTGCAGGGAAAAAGAGGCAGAAAAAGACCTTTGCAAAAGATCTTGGGTAGTTTGGCATCAAGGCATGGAAAATTTGTATTAGAAATGAATGACATTACATATGACAGAAGATGGTGGACAAGCATGATTACCAATGCAGCTTGGCATTGGTTGGTTGATGGACAATGCTGGGTTGGGGGATAATGGGTAGTAGAAAACCTGTAACACTGTTTTATATTGAAGTTTACATTTCTTGATAAAAACATGCAACAAGTAGAATTGCTTGACATTAAACTTAACATTTCTTAATGAAACACATGCAACAAGTAGCATTGCTTGACATTAAACTCAACATTTATGAATGAAAAACATGCATCAAGTAGCATTGCTTGACATTAAACTTAACATTTTTTAATGAAAAACATGCATCAAGTAGCATTGCTTGACATTAAACTTAACATTTCTCAATGAAAAACATGCAACAAATAGCACTGTTTTACATTAAACTTTACATTTCTTGATAAAAACATGCAACAAGTAGCACTGTTTTATATTAAACTTTGCATTTCTTAATAAGAAACATGCAACAAGTAGCACTGTTTTACATTAAACTTTACATTTCTTTATAAAAAAAACATGTAACAAGTAGCACTGTTTTACATTAAACTTTATATTCCTTGATAAAAACATGCAACAAGTAGCACTGTTTTACATTAAACTTTACATTCCTTGATAAAAACATGCAACAAGTAGCACTGTTTTACATTAAACTTTACATTCCTTGATAAAAACATGCAACAAGTAGCACTGTTTTACATCAAATTTTACACTTTTTTGACAAAAACATGCAACTAGTAGCATTTTTTAACTTAATGTTACCTTCTCAACAACATATCACAGTAAATAATAATATTGTTTTATGAAAATGTTAATTTCTTGATAAAACAAGCAGCTAGCAACATTGTTTTACTAAATATATTACATGTTTTTGGAAACAAAACTAACAACATTGTCTTACTGAAAATTTTCATTTATTGGTGTTTTACTGAAAATGTTCATTTCAAGATAAAAACATGCAACAAGTAGCAACATTGTTCACCTGAATACATTACATTTCTTGTTAAAAAGTGGAACAAAGATTAACATTGTTTTACTGATATATGACATTTCTCATTAAAATGGTCAACGACTGGTAACAATGTTTCATGGAATATATTCCATTTCTTTGTAAAAAAAAAAAGTGCAGCAACTAGGAATTTTTTTTAAAAACTGAAAATGTAACATTTCTAGGTTTTAATGCAACTCCTAGCCACATTGTTTTACTAAACGTTACTTTTCTTGATAAAAACATGTAACAACCAGCAACATTGTTTTAGTGAAAATGTTACAATAACAAAAACATGCAACATCATCTTATTTACAATATTAGTCAATGCTGTAACAACTCAATATTTCACACATTTGCCCTTGAAGATATGAATTCATAACAAAATGATTCTCATTGCAGAAAAAAAAAATTATGAAAGAAAGACAAAAAGATACTGATAAATGTAAATTAACAAGGTGGTTCAATTAAAATGAGGATCGTTAATTAATGTTTAAAACTCGACTATGTGATCCACCTACTGTGTCTTTCTGTTAGCGTGTTTACGGTCTAATGTGAAGAGGCCATTTCTGGTTCAGAGATGGGAGCAGATCTTTGCTTCCTGTGTTTAAACCAGTGGTCACAGGAACAGACCCACTTGGCAAGGCTGTGTACTTATTTCCTTCGTTAGTTACAGAGCACGTCTGTTGCTTCTAATTCACTCAGAGATAGAGATTGTAAATGTGCACGTGTGTTTCTTAAAAAAAACCATTTTGGTTAAAGTGAAATGTTAAAAGTTTGGTCAACAGAAGTTTAGTGAAATGTGTTTTACAAACTCTGACAGAAAAATAGATTTTTAGGCATGAGGGTGTTATCTGTGTGTCCCTCTTGGAGGGTTAGAGAATGGTTTCACAGTCCCATCAAACCAGGACAAGGACTCGGCATGAGTTAGTTGAGCTTCTGTACCTCTAGGAGATGAAAAGCTGAATAGAATAGGCTGATGTGCAAGCCTGAAACATTGAACTACATAATTTACTGCCCATGTTTGTTTAAATGCCTCCATGATGACCTCCATGTCCATGTGAGTCAGAAGTAGTGAGAGGCAGGAAGTTAGTACACCATGTGATTAAGCCGGGCAGACTGCCAAAACATTCAAACATAATTTTCTGCGTAAATACATAAAATGGCACTGTGAAGATCAAAACATTTTAAGCATTATTATTTATTAAATTTGATATTATTCTCTAACTGTAATCTTGGAATATCAACAGCTGTTATTTTTCTAGCAAGGGAAGTTTAGAAAATGGCAGTAATTTTATGTTAATGTTTTCATTAACATCCATTTTTTAAAGTGACTTTCTGTCATGCTGCAGGTTTGACAACAGTGGAAAGGCATTTGTTTTCTGAAATGTGAAATACATGTGATCTGCCTAATAGTATCAAACCAGTTTGCCACAAACTTCTGGATTTATATTCTGTTCTTGGATTATTATATTTGATTTCTCTGAGCTGTTTTTTTTTTTAAATTTGGGACTATAACATATTGGTGCTGTTCACTATTATTATTTATAAAGGCTAATGTCCGAACTATTTATTATATTCAGTAAGTCCCGTAAATAACAGAGAAAATGTATCAAAAGCAAGAGTCTCCAACGGTGCATCGCAGGACAACCAGTAGTGGTGTTGCCACGGGAGAAATGATGGGGATTAGCACAACTTCCAGACTTGGAGACAGGAAGTTCACAATGCGGTGCTATTCTACGGACACCGCACTGGATTACACGCAGGGCTATAATGAAGAGCTGGATGCGGATAAAAATTTCTGCAGGCGATCTGCCAGTTTGCAGCAGCATTCTACAATTGGTCCTGGAGTTTATAGAAAGAATGATGATATAGGTGGTAACAAAAAACCTGCCCCCGTCGTGCGACAGAGGGCCAAACGCAATTATGAAACTGTTAATATTGTTGCAGATGGTGAGGACACCCAGTGTGCACCCACATGGAATACATACTGTAAGTATATAGTGTCTGTATACGTTAAGTGTAGTTTGTTGATGTTACATGGTTATGTTTACCCATTTATGATGAAGCATACTTTGTCTTCTTAGCGTTCACTGGCTGTAAACTGCTGCAGAACAATCTGGTTGTTTGTCCACTTCTGGACTTTGGTCTTCTTCTTCATGTTCTCTGGTTGTAAACTCAAGCAGAAAGTTTTGTTTGTTTGTCCATCTCTGGACTTCAGGCTTCTCCAAGAGCAAGAATGTTGTGTGCATATCTATTTTATAGATATGACTTATGGGTGCTTAATTAATATCCTACCCCACACAGGGGAAATCCACAGGTCACGGGACAGTCTAATATTTCAGGGGGTGGTAGATAGGCTGCGTGCAGTCGTGGTACCTAGGCTGCACTCTCTGGTGGGACGTAGGTGGGTTGGTGTTAGGACCAGTTCTAGATGTTTTTGGGTCGTTAAAAGCATCAGAAAGCCGAGAAACCCAGTCTTACCATCTTCTAAAATGTTGGACTGTCCTGTGACGTCATCTGGGGGTGAAATATTAATAAAGCACTGACTTGTGCAATGGCAGACTGTTTGTTCCTTGCCTCTCAGGCAGATGCACCAACTTCAGAGGAAGCAGATTTTGGTCTAATGAAAACTGAAGTTTGGTAACTCTTCATAAAAACACACATGAAATAGAGTTTGATGCAGAGATAAATAATCTGTAGAGGGCATATTGAGGTGCTGAATAGGAAGTAAAAACTAGTTGGAGTGACTTGGTCAGGGACCAGTATTGCACTTGTGGTTAATGGACAGATGAAGGAGAGCATCAATAAGGTTAGGTAGCAAAAGATAACTTGGAGGAAGTTGGTTGTGGACCTTAAAGGAAAAGGTGAGAGGATCAACTTCATTGCACCAGGTTTGATCCCATAGGGGCTCAGTCTCTGTCTGCAGAACAGCTAGCTGTCTGCTGAGAGCGTCACACAGAGCATGATCTCCGTAGCTGTGGCGATGATCCCCAGGATCCACATAAAAATAGCATTTGTGAACTGAAGGACACCGCCGTGAAAGAAACCCACGACCCTTAGAGTGCAAAGTAAGCGGCTTGACAACTTTGCCACGATACTCTAATGGGAGATATAGGACAAATGAAGGAGGGCATCCATAAGATGAGGTAGGAAAATATATTTGGAGTGGGTTGGTCGAGGAATGGACACCACTGCTGGATAAAGGACAGGCGAAGGTGAAGATGGGTAAGGTGAAGTAGCAAAAGATAGTTGGAGTTAGTCAAGAACCTATACTTCAAGGTTGATAGAAGATGATAAAGGATAAGATGAGGTAGCAGAAGATAGGAAAAGTACCTATACTCCAATGGTGGGTCAAGAACAGATGAAGGAACAGGTGAATAAAAGGCACTAGCAATAGATAGCTTACAATGAGTAGGTTGAGGACCAACACTCCAGCAATGGATAAATGACAGATGACGGAGATGCAATTGTAGGAACCACACCATGCCTGCAATACATAAAGAAGCAACAAATAGAGTGGTTTGGCCACTTGGTGCGAATGCAAACCGACCAACTGCCTCTACGAGCATACAACGAACAGCACTACTGCCCTAGAGCAAGAGGCAGACCGAGAGTACGATGGATAGACAATATATCAGAGATCCTGAGGCAACACGGACTAACAACAACACGTGCAACACACCTGGCCCAGGATAGAAAACTGCGACTCCCCACTACGCTGTGAGGCAATTGTGGACTAGACAAGGAGATGATGAATAAGGTACTGTAATATCATCTGAAAGAGACAGGAGATCACATTAATAGCTGTCACCTCCATGTCATGGACACCTTGGTGATCCTAGGAACTGGAGTGCAATGGTACTGGTTTCAGGGCATCATTCTGGACATCCAAAAGATGTTGTCTGGTGGGTATAGTCTTGTTTACCCCACAATAAAACTCCACAGCTCACACAGGGAGCAGACTAGGATGATGATGAAGTCTTCAACATTTTTCTGTACAGTCACACCCCTGCAGCTTCAAACTCATTTCTCACTAACCTAATGACTAGATTCACTTACCAGGAGGCTGTAAAGACGGTGTCATCAGCATATGGAGGTTGACCACCAACCACATTTCCTGGCATTGATGTATAGCATTAAATATTCTGTACCCCATTGACTCAATGAGTCCCAAGGAACGCATCATACGTTCACATGTTCCTACCTTGAAGCCCAATGAACGCACAATGTGCCGATTTTACGACTCTTTACTATCCCCTGGGCCTGTGATGCTTAAACCCCTGGGACTCAACGATTTAAAAGATGCTATTGCTTAAACTAAACTACATATAAAATACATTTTCCATCAGCTGTTATTAAGCTCCCGAAATATTTGAACACATTAATTTGCCTCTGATTAATGAGCCTGATTTACTCGGTTATTGCATTCTAGAGAACCTCCCTCCCCCCTCCCCCTTTTTTTTAAATTAAGAAAAAATAAAGATTATCTCAGTTTTTCTACTGTTCAGCTGAGACCTTCACCATGACTTTCTGTTATAAGCATATAGTGGCAGAAATGTTTATCAATGTTCTTACCACAAATACGTCTGCTTTGTGACAGTGTACCAGTTGCAGCAGCAAGCACCGAAGCCAATATGCATTCCTTGTGATTATGAGGTGAGAGAATTGTTCATACTTATCAGCTGTTTTTTTTTTTTTAAATTTTATCAGCATTATTATTATGAGGTGAGAATTGTTCGGCCATAAGCTTTTTTTTTTTTTTTTTTACATTTGCGTTAATATTAGGTGAGAATTCAGCTGTTGCTGATTTGGCAAAAGACAGCTTTGTTTTGATTTTGACATTTGATATGGAAGGCCGATCATTCAGGAGGCAGTGGCAGATCATCATCAGTGGTCCAGTGTGCTATTGTGTGTCACATAATGCTCACTGTCTATTTTCCCACTCCTTTATGGAATCTGGTCCAGCACCTTTGGCCTCTCTCATTCATTTTAGGGTTTCTTTTGGACGTCTTTATTTCCTTAATCCTTTTTTTTTCTTCTTCCCATTTTAGTGCCTGTTTGGTGGTGGTTCTTTGCTGATTTCTTCTCAGGATGGGTCTGGATAAACACCATCCTCTTTGCCTTATAACTGTTGTTACCAGGGATTGCCCAGACATTTCTCTTATTTCTTTACCCCTCTTGACTTCAAGTGGCAGAGTAGTAAACGTAATCTTGCTTAGTATAAAACCAAAAACAGCCAACAAATGTGGTTAATTTGCAACCTCCTTCAACGTCGGAAGTGATCCAGGCATACAGAATAGACCTAGAGCCTAACTATACAATCACAACAATTCCAGGCATAGACAGAAAGGCTGAAGAATGTGACTTAGTACTGCATGCAAATACCCTTGAACATGTCTATAACTGTTATCCAAAACTCGAATGGACACACGTATATATATATATATATATACACTGATGGATCATTGGAGGGAGCAGAAAAAAAAAGGAGGAGCTGGAATAATCATAATGCTGCAAAATGGTACCACAGTAGAAATGTCATGCGCCTCCTGAAAACTTTCAACAAACTTCAGAGCAGCAAGCAATTATTGATTCAGGCAAAGTGCTGGAGAAAAGAAAAATTAACAAGAGAAAAATTTGTTTCCTTAAGGACTGCATGTCAGTCCTCCGGGCGACTCAGAGGGATCCACGAGACAACATGTAAAGAGAACTGACCCGCCAGCTGAACAGACTCTCAGAAAACAATCAGATCATTCTCCAGTGGATCCCGGCTCACTGCCGCATACCAGGAAATGAGCTAAAAATCAGACTTGCTAAAAATGGAACAAAGGAGAAAATATCACACCCACCCATTGTCGTTACCAGAAATCAAAACACTTATCAAGGGAAAATAAAAGGAATTGTGGAGAGAATGAACTAATAGTAAACATCCACAAGACCCCATCAGCAAACTCAACAGAAAGCAACATACAACAATTTCCATCTACGAACAGGACACTGCAGGCTAAACTACCATTTGCATACAATAAAGATTGGACAGGCCCACAAACACCTGAGTACATTCTGCAGACCTGCCCACTCTACCTAGAACCTCGAAAAGACACCTGGCCTCAAGTGCAAAGTGTGCAGAGCAAGCTATGGGGAACCATGATGGACCTGCTGTTGACATGCGAGTTTACAGAGGCAGCCCACCCCGTGGTCTGATCTGAGCACACAAAACCGAACACGAAAAGGAATAAGAACAACCCCCTGTAAAGGATACAGGAGCCGCTGTGGTGTAGCAGCTAGATGCTTGCCTGCAGATGGAAAGGGCCTGGATCCTGAATTTTTACAAAAATGACCTTGGCTTCCAGGTTGAGCCAGCCTTGAGTGGGTGCCAGGTAAAGTCATGGGAAGTAAAGGAGGCTGGTGTGGTGTTGACCACATCGTCCACTGACTGCCAGTTGGTCCATAAAATGTAGGTCTAGTCCTAAATATCCAAGGCTCCTTTACTAACAATAATATGTAACTTAGTTAAAAATCCTAGTTAGTAAATAAACTAATCATAGTTATGTAACTTAGTTAAAAATCCTAGTTAGTAAATGCACTAACCATAATTATGTAACTTAGTTAAAGATCCTAGTTAGTAAATACACTAACCATAATTATGTAACTTAGTTAAAGATTCTAGTTAATAAACACACTTACCATAATTATGTAACTTAGTTAAAGATCCTAGTTAGTAAATACACTAACCATAATTTTATAACTTATTTAAAGATCCTAGTTAGTATATGCACTAACCATAATTATGTAACTTAGTTGAAGATCCTAGTTAGTAAATACACTAACCATAATTATGTAACTTAGTTAAAGATCCTAGTTAGTAAATACACTAACCATAATTATGTAACTTAGTTAAAGATCCTAGTTAGTAAATAAACGAATCATAATTATGTAACTTAGTTAAAGATCCTAGTTAGTAAATAAACTAAACATAATTATGTGACTTAGTTAAAGGTCTTAGATAGTAAATACATCATCATCATCATGTAGCAGGTCCTTTGCAGAATGTCGCTCTCATCACAGTCTGCCCGTAAGAAACTCGGTCTCTCGCCAGTTCTCTCACCTCATGCACTTTCACACTCAAGGAGTCACTTATATCCTGTGCCCATCTTCGTGTCGGTCGGCCCCTGCCCCTCCTTCCTGGTACCATGCATTCTGCTATAATTGTTTCCAGTCCGTCGTGGCTCTTGAAATGACCAAAATATTTCAGCTTTCGAGAAAGTATGCTGTTTATTAGCCAATCTTCCTTGATGTTTAGATCTTTTCAGATGTCAATATTTCTCATCTTCTTTTGCCAAAATATTCTGAGAATCTTTCTATAGCATTTCAGCTCAAAAGCCCCTATTCTCTTTCTTAAAGACTGAGAGATAGTCCACGACTCACATCCATATATAGCCACAGGGAAGATGCACTCTCTCAAAATTCTAATTTTCATCTCCTTGCTGGTGCTTAACCATACCAGTAAATACACTAACCATAATTATGTAACTTAATTAAAGATCCTAGTTAGTAAATACACTAACCATAATTATGTAACTTAGTTGAAAATCCTAGTTACTAAATAAACTTATTATAGTTATGTAACTTAGTTAAAGATCCTAGTTAGTAAATAAACTAACCATATTTATGTAATTTAGTTAAAGATCCTAGTTAGTAAATACACGAACCATAATTATGTAATTTAATTAAAGATCCTAGTTAGTAAATAAACAAATCATTGTTACGTAACTTAGTTAAAGATCCCATTTAGTAAATACACTAACCATAATTATGTAACTTGCATTATAGGTGCCAAGCAGACCACCACAGTATGGAAAAGAGTAAGTATGTTTGTTGTTAGCCAGTAATGTTTTACTAAGCAAATAAGTATCATGTTTTATGTTTGTTTTCTGTTTTTTAAATATGCCGATAATCTCAAGGTCAGAATAGAAGATGCATGTATTGAGATCTGCAGGTTTTACAATGTCAGTAATAAAAATGCGTGAATTGACATTCAGCTCTCTTCGTAAGTTTGTCATTTTTTTTAAGATACTATCATTATTCTTTTTAATCTATCTAGGATATTTTCATTATTTGCCTTTATAACCACATCTCCGCTGCTTCCAAATAAATTATTGAGCACTTTCGTACATAAAAATATGAAGTAGAGAAATTGATCTTATGTAGGAAAAATAGACAAGATAGACAGAAAATTTAATTAGGAAGATACTGAACAGTTTGGCATTATGGCCCAAAGGATCTGTGTCGAAAATTATTGAAAGTACACAAAACTGAAGGCTATGGACTGACATGGCTACCAACACCATGTGGCATGGATGTGTACATGATATATAACTCAGTATGTGGTTGAATAGTTTACAACTACATTAGTGTTGTTTCACCACTTCACTAGTAGTATTCCTGTTTGTGACCAGTGTATCTGGTGTTATGGTTGAGTGTGTGTGTTAAGAGTGTTTCAGGGTGACCCATCAGTTTCCATACATAGGGAGAAAAAGCAGATCACCAATATCATTAGAAGCAGTACTCCAGCTGTGCTTATGTATGGCCTTTAGCAGTGGTGAACACACATTATACTGGGTTTTTTTTCCCTTCTTCAAAACAGTTGTAGTCACTTGGAGCATATTATATAAATAAAAATAGGTTTTCATAATAAATGGTTATTTTTCCTCTGCATGGAAACTTACTGGACACCCTGTGCATTGGTGGAAACTGAATTGTCTCACTTGACCTCATAGTTTCAAGTGCTGAGCTGCACTGTTGCACGTCACACATTTGTGCTCCCCCCCCCCCCCCCCCCCGCACTTATCTGCTGCACTATCACACATCACACATTTGTGCCTCCCACACTTTGCTGCTGCACTATCACACTTGTGTGCCCCTCACACTTAGCCAGTTTGACCTTGGCCTTTATTGACTGCTTCGCTGTGTGTGAATGTCTGTGTTTTCTGTAGGGAGAAGAGTGAAAGCGAATATGCTTTTCAGATACAGTGTCACAGAGTTGCAGTGATGAAGTCGCTAGTGATTCTACCTGCCAGGATATTGGTCCGGGTTTAAACCTTAGCACGTTGACATTTTCCTATCGGTATAGTTCTGAATAGATTAAAGCCACTAATAGCAGCTCAAGCAGATGTAACACTAAAGACAACAAGAATTTGGATAACAGATCCGTTTACTTATTTAGGTAGTAATATAAATAGTCATGGAAACAAAGAAAGAAATTAGGACGCACACTGACGAGGCAACAACAGCTTTTGAAAACTCTAACAAAGTAAAGTAAAGGTACTTTTTCTACGGCTTTTAGTGTATTGGGAATTTAGGGCTAGACCTATATTTGTATACACCAATCGGCACTTGGCGGGAGATGTGGTCAGCATTTTGTCAGCCGCCATTACTTCCCAGGGTTGCACCTGGTACTTGCTCAAGGCTGGGTCAACCTGGGATTCAAGGTCATTTTTGATGAAAACAAGTCCGGCTCTGTCATGGCCTTCCAATCCATAGGCGCTACGGCGACTCCCTTTAACAAAGTATGGAACTCTAAATTATATAGTTTAGAACAAAGTTACATATTTTCAGTTATAATGTTATTTCTATTTTAACATATGTTAGTGACAGTTAAAGAAACACTAAATATATGGAACAAAAGTTAAATGCATTCTAGAACAAATGCCTGAGGAAAATGACGAACATAAATGGGGTGAATTCAAAAGCAGTGAAGACATAAGAAAAATGTATAATATTAACAGTTATAAGACAGAGAAAGTACTGTATTGGACACATTCAGAGAAATGACGAATGGAGAATCACCAAACAGGCATTGAAATAGGAAATAGAAGAATTAAGGAAACAAGGCTGTCCAAGAGAAACCCTGAGGCGGATGTTGATGAGAGAGGTCAAAGCTGCTTGACTGGATTCCAGCCAGGATATCAAAAGTGATTGCACAGGATAAAACAGAATGGAGAAACAGACTCCATGCCCTATGTGACATATAATGGTGCAGCAGGATATAAATAAATGAATCGTGGTTCTGAGATTGCCCGCCCCTCATTGAAAATCATTAACAGACAGTTTTCTGTAGAGGGAGGCCTTTTCTTCTGCAGCCACCCTTTGTGGGTTGCAGGGCCCTTATTCTGGGGGGTGGGGGGTGGGAGAACCAGCCAGTCTCTGCTTGGTTATTTGCCAACACCCCGGCAACTGCCTCCACCTACATTCTCAAACAAGTTTTGTTGCACTAAGAGATGTCCGTTCAGTTTTGCTCTGTGTTAAGAGGCATGGGGGTTCATAGTTTAGAATATGTTGTCAAAAGGGCTTAGCATGAGATGGTGGAGACCCTATGCTCCACTTGGAAATTAAAGGCAGAAAAACGAATGAATACAAAAAAGCAAAGACACATGACTACATTGAAACAGCATGGAACACATGGTTTGAAATCAACAAAAACACACATGGTGCATGAGCAGCCCAATAAGAAATAACTAGAGCATGATAAGCCATCATTGAAAAAAACTGATATCACTTAACACAGGGCTGTTCAACTGGCTGCCCACAGAGGCATAGTATACTTGGCAGCCACATGTACACACAATTTAAGATTGGTGAATCAGCCATGTGTACATGTGGATTAGCACCTGAGACAACAGATCACATCCTCCTAGACTGTCCCAAATACAACATATCAAGGCAACACTTTTGGCCTCGAGAAATACCAGTGAATGTCAAACTTTACGGGTCTCTGAGTGAATAACAAATGACAGTGAAGTTCATACTAGAGACAATATGGCAGATATAGATAATCTATTTAAAGTGATCGGAAGAAGAAAGAAGAAGAGGCCTGGCAAGTGGCACTGGAATCGTTGCCAGTTGTACTGTAATAGTGATCTTTCTACGCTGGAGCTGTGGCCCGTGACGATCCCCATTTTCAATATTTTTATCGCTGAGTAGACTCAGCTGAACAGCCCTGACTTGACATGAACCAAATGGGCATGTCCTCTGAGTTCTGGTGCCTGTTCCGGGGAGGGGGGGGGAGCATGTCCTAAAGTGCTACTAACTAGGGGGTTGTGCTGGTTCAAAGTTGCAGTTATCACAGGATAGCTGTAAACGTCATAGCTGTGAATGTCCTGTTAAGGTTGATCATAGAAGAAGATAAAAATGGAGCCAGCTGCCCACCTCAAAAATCAACTGTACACATACAATTCATATTGCCTTATATCAATATATGGATGTTTCTTAGCTACCATCCTAAAGACCTTGGGTTCGCATGCGTCTCCACAGATCATGATCCCCGGTTGTCTGGAACAGCTTTCTTGATGATATCCCTCCATGCCATCGTTTCAGCGCATCCAGCATCATCTCTATTGGTCTGCCTCTACCCCGTTTTCCACTGATCTTTCCAGTTGTCACAATGTTCTCCAATGTCTCTCTTCTCATTATGTGGCCAAAGAACAGTGTTATATAGGGAATAGAGGCTGTAGCACACTGATTATACACCTGTCATTCTCTTCCTCTCATACACCCTCCTTGCCGGATTGCACACCTCATTCCTCCTTCCTTCAATGTTATTTCATCTAACCCCGTGTCTTCTATCTGTATTCATTCATAAGTGGTCTTCAGAATATCCTCTTTGTCAGGTACAAATGCTCTCGCAGCTTTCTCTTATGGCAGGAAGAATTTGCTCTTTCATTCCCTCGCACCCATGCATTTCGTGACAGTATATCCATGTGAGTCTCCGTAGTGTTGATCTGCTGATGCTTGGCGTCTGCTCATGCTACATTTGTCCATTTGGAACCTACCAGGTTCACCTATCCTGAAATACGTGCCCAGAAGTGCCCTGGGAAATAAAGTTCTTGTTACTACTTTGTTCTTTACATGTGATTGTATCTTTTCTGGTGACCACTTTGTTCTTTACCTGTCATTTCATTTGTTATTGTGACTATTTTGTTCTTTACATGTGATTGTATCTGTTCTTGTGACTACCGTGTTCTGTATATGTGATTGTTTCTGTTCTTGTGACTACTTTGTTATTTTCACATTGTTGTATCTGTTCTTGTGACTACTTTCTTCTTTTATTTGTGACTGTATCTGTTCTAGTGACTGCTGTGTTCTTTCCATGTGACTACTTTCTTCTTTCATTTGTGACTGTATCTGTTCTAGTGACTGCTGTGTTCTTTCCATGTGATTGTATCTGTTCTTGTGACTATTTTTTTCACACATTATTGTATCTGTTCTGGTGACTGCTTTGTTCTTTACACTTGGTTGCATCTGTTCTTGTGACTGCTTTGTTCTTTATACATGATTGTATCTGTTCTGGTGACTACTTTGTTCTCTACACGTGATTGTATCTGTTCTGGTGACTACTTTGTTCTCTACATGTGATTGTATCTGTTGACAGATATCATGGCAGCCTCAGCAGACAGGATGTGGACCGGCTCCTGCGCGAGGGAGATGGATGCTATCTGGTCAGAAAGAGCGAAAGAGCCCCTGATGCATTCACATTGGCCATAAGGTTGTTGTTTGTTGTTTTTTTTTCTTTCTTGTGAATCACCTGAAAGACCGTGAACTCTGACTATCTAAGTCTGATGCATGGAATCCAGTGCTCGCCTGCCAGCCAAATGATCAAGAGTTCAGTATTTTTGTTTTGACGTCATTAAAACAAAATGTTACTGGTTTATAGAAGTATTGATTTCAACTGTTGTCAATCAGGCTTGTGTTCTCTGCGCTCTTCTTTATGGCAGTGAAACTTGATCAACTTATTCACACCCGGAGAAACAGCTAAAGAGTTGTCACATGTGATGTCTAAGAAGAAAACTTGGCGTTAAAGTGGTAAGACCGGATCACAAACACTGAGGTACTGGGAAGAGCTAGTACTAAAACAGTTTTCTCAATGTTCAGTCTACAAAGGCTCAGGTGGCTGGGTCACACCTGGAGAATGGAGGATGGCAGAGTCCCTAAGGACGTCCTTTATGGGGAATTGAAGATGGGTAGAAGATGTCACGGCTGCCAACTAGTACGATGTAAAGATGCATGCAAGCGAGACATGACTGATACAGGTTTTGGGAGGGAATGAGAGTTAACAATTGCTTTAGTTATTAAATGTTCATGTATAAATTCTGAAGAAAGAAAATGTTCATGTAATATCTGCTGTAAGTAGAGCAGTTTATGTAACATCTACATTAGATTGAAAATGTTCATATAGCACCTTCTGTGTGTAAAAAATGTTCATGTAATATGTTCTTTAGATAAATGTTCATTTAATGTTTACATTGAGTAAAAATTGTTTGCGTAAGCATATGCTTGTGGTAGAGAACTAAAGTAGCCAACTTCAAACTTCTGATTGGACCTTGTCACCCAGGTTCAATAATGAAACAAGGAATTACAAGCTGTACTACGATGGGAAGCATTACGTTGGAGAGAAGAGGTTCGACACCATCCACGATTTGGTGGCAGACGGCCTCATTCACTTTTACATTGAGCTGCGAGCTGCCGACTATATCAAGACGTTATCTCAGGAATCCAACTATGAGGAGTCACCGTATATGGCATACAACATGAAGAGAAAACGAATGGGGAAATCCGGCAAAGGTGATACGAGTATCAGTAGTGCTCAGGTTTGTAACTGTAGATGTTTGTCATTTGGCCTCCTCTTTCTTTTTTTTCCTTCTGTGTTTGCTCTTCTTTGTCTTTTTCTTCTTTTCTTCTTCTTCTTCTTCTTCTTCTCCTTCTTCTTGTTTTCAGAAGAATTGCATGCACATCTGTTTTACAGATCTCCCTTATTTGTAAACAGACTGTTGGTTGCTTATTATTCCTGGACTTTTGCTCGCATAGTTAGCAAAGGACCCTTTTCCATGCCTTCAAGTGTACTGGGCATATAGGGCTAGACCTATATTTTATAGACCAATTGGCACTCAGTGGGTGATGTGGTCCATCATGTCAGCCGCCTTTACTTCCTAGGACTTTACCTGGTACCCATTTTTAAGGTGACAAGAATTAACAGGTTAATTCCCAGTTGCCAGGTCTAGCCCTGTATGCCCAATACACCTCAAGACATGGAAAAGGACCTTTAAGTTAAAAAAAAATGTATTTTATTTAATTTGATCACCATCGGGCGCTGCTAGCTTCTGCTGCTGTCATTTAATTTGATCACCATCGGCCGCTGCTAGCTTCTGCTGCTGTCATTTAATTTGATCACCATCAGCCACTGCTAGCTTCTGCTGATGTCATTTAATTTGATCACCATCGGGCGTTGCTAGCTTCTGCTGCTGTCATTTAATTTGATCACCATCGGCCGCTGCTAGCTTCTGCTGCTGTCATTTAATTTGATCACCATCAGTGGCTGCTAGCTTTTACTGCTCTCATTTAATTTGATCACCATCAGCGGCTGCTAGCTTTTACTGTTCTCATTTAATTTGATCACCATCAGCAGCTGCTAGCTTCTGCTGCTCTCATTTAATTTGATCACCATCAGCGGCTGCTAGCTTTTACTGTTCTCATTTAATTTGATTACCATCAGCCACTGCTAGCTTCTGCTGATGTCATTTAATTTGATCACCATCGGGCGCTGCTAGCTTCTGCTGCTGTCATTTAATTTGATCACCATCGGCCGCTGCTAGCTTCTGCTGCTGTCATTTAATTTGATCACCATCAGTGGCTGCTAGCTTTTACTGCTCTCATTTAATTTGATCACCATCAGCGGCTGCTAGCTTTTACTGTTCTCATTTAATTTGATCACCATCAGCAGCTGCTAGCTTCTGCTGATGTCATTTAATTTGATTACCATCAGTGGCTGCTAGCTTCTGCTGCTGTCATTTAATTTGATTATCATCAGTAGCTGCTAGCTTCTGCTGCTGTCATTTAATTTGATTACCATCAGTGGCTGCTAGCTTCTGCTGCTGTCATTTAATTTGATTACTATCAGCCACTGATAGCTTCTGCTGCTGTCATTTAATTTGATTACCATCAGTGGCTGCTAGCTTCTGCTGCTGTCATTTAATTTGATTACCATCAGCCACTGATAGCTTCTGCTGCTGTCATTTAATTTGATCACCATCAGCGGCTGCTAGCTTCTGCTGCTCTCATTTAATTTGATCACCATCAGCCACTGCTTGCTTCTACCTGTCATTTAATTTGATCACCATCGGCCACTGATAGCTTCTGCTGCTGTCATTTAATTTGATACCATCAGTGGCTGCTAGCTTCTACTGCTGTCATTTAATTTGATCACCACCAGCCACTGCTAGCTTCTGCTGCTGTCATTTAATTTGATCACCATCAGTCACTGCTAATCCCATACTATCATGGTTCTGCTTTTCTTCTAGACCAGCTCTGCAGCTGATACAGTTGACAAGTCGGCTCCAACATTAAGTATCACTGACTATGAAAAGCCACATATATTCAAAGTAAGCTTCATTTTTCTGCTGTGACATATCTGAACAGTTAATCCGTGTGAGATATCTGTATGGTTAATCCGTGTGAGACATCTGTACAGTTAATCTGTGTGAGATATCTGTAAGGTAATCCTTGTGAGATATCTGTAGGGTAATCCCTGTGAGATATCTGTGCTGTTGATCCCTGTGAGATATCTGTATGGTTAATCCGTGTGAGATATCTATACGGTTAATCTGTATAAGATATATGTACGGTTAATCTGTGTGAGATATCTGTACGGTTAATCCGTGTGAGATATCTGTACCGTTAGTCTATGTGAGATAACTGTATCATTAATCTGTGAGAAAGAAGTCAGCCTCGTACAGAAATATACTATAGGCAGGGTTTGCAAGAAAGGACAGCAAGATTTTGGTGAAATGTCTAATCCTCACCCCAAGAAACTGCAAACCCCTCATCTCCTACTTGGACTCATTCCCTTAAATGCAGCTTACCCTGTGTGGCTGCAGTGACATGATCACCGGTGGCTCAGACTAGATGACTAGATGCTCATAGAAGATTTGAGATCCCCATTACTTTTTACGGACAAGGTACCTTTAGATAGGGAGCTGTTGTGGTGTAACGACTAGATGCTGACCTGCTGATCGGAAGGTTATGGGTTCAAATCCGAACGGAGCCTAGCATTTTTTTTTTTTTTAATGGCGTGAGTCCACTGGTCGACCCAGCCATAAATTGGTAGCAGTAAAATGCTGGAAAGTAAAGAAAGCTGACGCGATGTTGGCCATATGACCCACCGAGTGCTGATCGGATCTATCAAATATAGATCTAGCACTGAATGCCAAATGTGCTAGAAGGCGTAGAAAAGAATTCTTTTGTCACTTTTACCTGTAGATGACTGGAATGCTAGGATCACCTGTGTTTACTTTTGACTGAGCATCTGTTAAAGACAGGGGAGTTTTGATAATCAGAGCTTCAGATATAATGATTTCCAATGTCTGCTTTAGGCAAGACATCTTTAAAAGGTTTAGGTTTAAACAACGCATTAACATCATGACACAAGGGTAGTAACCCATAAGTGCTCCATTCTACTTCTGACTCAAGCACGAGTCCAAAGAATTTCTGCAGTGCACGAACTCTGTAACACCAGCGAGGATCCTGAAATACTTTTCTTTAAATCTTTAAAAGTATTTGCTAAGTATATTAAGATTCTGTAGAAATTGCATTTCTTGGCTGTTTGCAATTTGACATTTAATAGTTTGCTGTTGCTTTCTGAATGGTTGGCTCTAGATGTCAGTGCAAGTGCAAAGCAGTTTGCTGCCAAATTGCCCACAGCTCGGATTAAACTAAGTTCTTGGATTTACAAACCACATTTGCAACGTCTTGGCCACAGATGCTGACACATACTGTGTTTCCCAGAAAATAAAACCTAACCCGATAATAAGCTGTACCATGATTTGTCACGAAGCCTGTAATATAAGCCCTACCCTGAATGTAAGACCTGGTTACGATCATCAGCCAAATGGGCAGGAATTTTTCATTTGTACAAATACATGACGTACTTATTGAATGCATAAATAAAAAATTTAAAAAAAAACTTGTATCATTAAGATTTATGCTGCAAAGTACAGGACCCTTTTCCACAGCTTTACGCATATTGGGCATATAACATAACATCACCCTTGAACCGTTAGGGCCGTGAGGGACGTATTGATGGAAACACCAGTACATAAAACTCACCATCTTTCTCTGTCTTCCGCTTGATGAATTAAATCCTGTCCATTTCTTGATGTTGTCATTCCATCTACTTCTGTGCCCTCCTCTTCTTGACTAAACCCCCCCCCCCCCCCCCAAGTGTTCCTTGAAGCACAATCTTTGCAATTAAATCATGTCGCACCACGTGCCCAAACCAAGCTAGCTTGTTATATATAGGGCTAGACCTATATTTTATACATGAATCAGCACAGCTGTCTTTACTTCCTAGGACTTTTACCTACTGCCAGTTCAAGGCTGGGTTGACCTAGGAGCCAAAGTCATTTAAAAGAGATTTAAGTCTGGCTCTGTTCACATTTGAACCCTTGACCTTCGGATCTGCATCTAGCGGCTAAACCACAGCCGCTCCCCAATGCTGTATACAAATTATATAATTTATAATAAATTATTTGGCAAAAAAACATTTTAAAAACATATAAAATATATTTTAAAAAGTTTCCCTGAAAATAAGCCCTATGACATCTTTTGTAGAGGGAAATTCTCTATTAATATTATTAATGAAATTATATCCTTTTCTCTGACATTTCTCCATAGGTTCAGAATTTTATTGGCCTTCATTTTTGTGATTTCTGTGCTAATTTTATGTGGGGACTTCTTGCTCAAGGGGTCAAATGTCAAGGTAAAAATTGTGTTTGTTCATATATTTAATTGGCTTTAGCTACAGCTTATGAATAAATTTAAGATTCTTATTGCAGTCATTATTGATAACAAAGGAAGCAATGCGTTGCATGCTTTTTCCATATTGTCATTCTAGGTGTCCAGATAAAACAAACTTTGAGGTATCTACTTGCTGAAAAAAAAGAATGTGCCTGTTTGTGTGGTTATCGAAGTCCCGGACCTGCAGGCTGTTCCCTGCTGATCTCTGGAGAGTCCATCTCATGATAAGTGGGAAGTTGTGAATTGTCTACTCTTAGGAAGGCCGTGCCATTCTTTTCTCCAGATGTTCCAGTAAAATAGTGTGTTATAGTTGGTAGTTTTTCCGTTTTTTGAAACTCCACACTGGCTTTTGCCAGGGGCCCTGAATATAGCCGGGCCATAAATACGGCCTAACGGCTGAAAGGGGTTTCTGGGAACTCTCCACGGAGGATCCTCATCCACATGGTGACATTTGTTTCACCAGGTGTTTTTCGCTTCTGTGATGTCCTGGTGGGGTACAACGAGAGAGAGAGAGAGAGATGTTCCAGTGACCAGAGTTCAAGAGACCATAACTTCTTTTTCTCCAGATTCCATTGCAAAAGTAAAGAGGATATCTTTTGATGATAGAACAAAACTATCCCAAAACTTATCGATATGGGTATTAACAGATAGCTTGGAAAATGTATTTCTTGAATGACCAAAATAAATATTTGAGGGGAAATTTTTTTTTAAATGAATGAACCAAGAATTAACACAACTGCTCGTGCTATTACCACATGTGTTCTGTCCCCTGCCTTAGTAGCCATAGAAGAGATCCTATATTGATGGTGCCAGATAAAGTATGATTGAGTCACTGAGAAAGCACGCACGAGTAAAGGTCTGTGTCTCCAGCCATATTATTGCTTTGGTGACTGCTCCATAGGCAGACTACTTGTGGTCAAGACAAAAGCAGCAGAATCTTGCTTCACAGTTCTAACTGCAACCTGGGCGGTAGAAGCCCACAAGCTTCTCCAATGGCAAAACTCTTTTACTAGCAACTCAAGTACACAGGAAGTTGTATTGTGGGGGGGGGGGGGGGGGGTCGTTCAGCGTGAACATAGTGGATATTTTCTTTTGATGTGTTTGTTTTCTTAGCGGCCTTAATCTCTGTCCATCTCTCTTTCTGCCCCCTCACGTCCTACCTGTTCCTCACTCTCTGCCTGTCTGTCACTGCTTTCCTCTCTCTTTCTCTTTGTATTTTCCGCTCTCCCTCACTCGCCTCCCACTCTCTCTCTCTCTCTCTCCCCCCGTACCTTCAGTTGGCGTAGAAGGTTATGTGTTGCCTAGTGCAGAAAATTTCATGTCCACCACTCCCCCTCCCTCACACACACACATTAAATATATGTGTACTTTTAAAAACACATTTGCCTTCACCACCCCCCCCCCTCTTTTTTTTCCCCTCCCACATTGACACCTAGGGGAGGGTTGCACCCCTTTCTGCTAGCTTCTTTCCTTTATATCTCATCTTATTTCTTACTCCCTTCTTTCTCTCCCTGTCTCAGTCCCCACTTTATTTTCTTAAACGTTATTCTCTCACCTTTCTCACCTCCTCTGTCTCACCCATACCATCTCAGCCTTCTACACCACCTTACACCACCTCCTCTCCCCCCTCCTTTCTGTAATTGGAAAACCTGAAATAAAACAAGACCACTGATGCCCTGACCTATTTGTGTGTGTGTGTGTGTGGTAACCTGCTCTATTTTCCACCGGTGGTGGGTTGGGATCCCCTGGACTTTTTCTTCATAAAATGACCTTGGCTCTCAGGTCACCAGCCTAAAGTGTAAGAAATTGAACTATTGTTGTCACAGGCAGATAGGACAAGCACAGGGGCAGTAGGGGTTAGCACTGTTGTTTATGGACCACAGCCACATTCACATTGGGAGAGGGTAGGAACCGGAAAAGTGGCCTCACTTAGAGATTTCCTAATTCAATTTTTGGCGCTCAGTGTTCTTATCGCCACCCCCCCCCCCCCCCCCCCACCCAGACACACAACCATGTCTTGCCTCTCTTTTCTCACCCCTTCTCTTTCCTTTGATCTTCCACTATTCTTCTTTCTCTCTGCATTCTTCCTCTCATCCTTTCCTTGCTCTGTTCTCTCTTGCTCTTTCTCCTGTCTCATCTCTTCTTTGTCCCCTCTCCATCCTGTCTTTTCATTTTCTCTAGATTTCCTTACCCTCTCCCCTCTCCCCCTTCCCCCATTTTTTCCTCTGGTTCATCTACATATGTTTTTTGCCCCATAACTATCTTTTCCTAGTGGTTGTGCTAGTGGTTGTATCCACTACACTTGAAATTGGGGGGGGGGGGGGGGTTCAGCAGGAGGCTGTTTTTTTTTCTTTGATGTATCTTGTCTCCCTTCCTGCACCTCTCTCTTAATCTGTGTTTGTCACTGCCTTCCTTACCCACACAAGTAAAAGTTCACTTGTGATGTGTGCACGCGTTGTGCATCTCTCTCTTTCTCTCTCTCTCTCTCTCTTTCTCTCTCTCTTTCTCTCTCTCTCTCTTGCTTTATGTTTGTTTGCCCCCCTTCATCACTTGTATACCTCCCTCCCATTCTCCTGCTCTGCCTTTTTTCTCTTTCTTTGGTTCTCTCCCTCTGTCTGCTTGCCTCTCTATGCTGTCCCTTTGTCTCTCTCTCCTTTATGTCTACAATTCTCTATGATTGCATCTGCTTCTCTCCCTGTCCGTTCTCTCTCCCTCTGTCTCCCCTCCTTCAACTTTCTTTGTCATATTTTCCTCCTTCCATGTCTCGGTTTTGTTCCCTTCTTCCTTCTCTCTTCATCTGCCCATCTCTGTATCTGCATTCCCTCTTTCTGTATTTGTCTCCCTCTCTGTCTTTCGCTGTCCCTTCCCCAATTTTCCTCATCATGTCTCCATCCCTCCCTCTCGTTTTTTCCTCCTTCCCCAGACTTCTTTTCCTTCTTTCCTCTACCTTCATCTGTCCATCTTTACACTGTCTCTCCCAGCCTTCCTCAGCATGTGTCTTCCTCCCTCTCTGCATGACTCTCTTTCTCTCCCCCTATAAGTGACTCCTTGAGTATAAAAAAGTACATGAGACGGGAGAGCTGGTGAAAGACCGTTTTTTATTTCAGGACAAAGGAAATGCTACATGATGATGATGATATATGTGCTGGTATACCAACATATGTGGCACGAATGAAGTACATTGGGTACACCCTTGAACAAGGCAAAAATCTTGTTTCAGTATTACACCGAGATAACCTTGAAAAAAACTAAGGAGACCTTGAAAAAGACCCTGAAAAGCCTTGAAATTGGTTGGTAAATTTGGCTATGAACCCTGAAACAAGTATAATTGCTTTTTTTTTTTTCCAATATAATTTTTTTATGTTTGTATCCTTCAAAATTGGAGTACATCTGTTGTGTCTGAGATACGAGGAACCAATAGTCTCCACACAGATGCTGATCTGTAAAATGATGAGCATGCAAAACTCAAGTTTTGGAATGGGACCAAAGTCCAGAAGTGGATGAACAACCAGGACTTTCAGCTGGAGTTTACAACTGATAACTGCTAAAAAGAAGTCTGTTTAAAAACATAATATTAACATAATTTAGTCTGTTCCTGAATGTGCCTTACCCAAAAAATATTTTGCGTTTGACTGGGGGTTATGTTTTCATAAATTCTATGTTGCGGATATTAATTTACATTTTCTACATTTAGATTGTGGTATTGAAGCGCACAAGAAATGCAGTGAGAAACTTCCTAATGACTGCGCACCAGATATGAAATATATAAAGCGCATTTTTGGAGCAGACCTGACAACTGTGGTCAAAGCTCAGAAATCCCTGATTCCTATAGTTGTTGAGAAGTGTGTGAAGGAAATAGAACTTAGAGGTTAGTCCATATGGTGTCATAGAAATAGAACTTGGAAATTAGTCCATATTGTGTTGTAGAAATAAAACATTGACAATAGTCCATCTTATGTAGAAGAAATAGAGCTTAAAGGTTAATACATTTTGTTTCTAACAAATATAAAAGGTTAGTCCATATTGTGTCAGAGAAATATAATTAGAGGTTTGTATTGTGTGTCTGGAGGTTTGTCTATATTGTGTCAGAGAAGTAGAATTTAGAGGTTAGTTAGTAATGTGCCAGAGAAGTAGAACCTAGAGGTAAGTCCAAATTGTCTCAGAGAAATAGAACTTGGAGGTTATCCCGTATTGTGTCGGAGAAATAGAGAAATTGACAATAGTCCATCTTGTGTAGAGGAAACAGATCTTGAAGGTTAGTACATACACATAATAGAAATAGAACTATAACGATAGTTCATATCATGTCAAAGAAATTAAATTTAGAAGTTAGTCTTTATTGTGTCAAAGAAGTAGAACTTAGAGTTGATCCATATTATGTCAAAGAATAAGAACCTAAAGGTTCATTTATATTGTCTCAGAGAAATAACATGTTAATAACAAGTGCATATTGTGTTGATGAAAAAAACCTTCAAGGTTATACTTATTGTTTTATCAGTGACTATGCTCAGCAGGATTGGGATTGGCTGAAAGATAGTGATTAGTTTCTTAGGTGGTCACAGTGACAAAGATTGGTTCTATTTCTATGCAAGGGTATGCAGGTACACGAGGAAATGAACATCTGATCAGTCTGCTGCTAAGGCTAATGAGCAGTGGACACAGGCTAACTTGTTAATTGCTCTTTGAAAAGTCAGACATGTGCTGTATGCAAGTGATGGCGGTTAATCTGCAGACATGACCAGACTGCAAGAACAGACGTAACAACCTCACATGACAGGATTGGGGATTTTAGGAGTACTAGATCTTCGTAATTTATACCGCTCTATTCCACATAACACAGGACTGGAGGGGGAAGGAATAGTAGATGTTTCTGTAATTTGTCACACTCATATTCCACATAACACAGGACTGGAGGGGGAAGGAATAGTAGATGTTTCTGTAATTTATCACACTGATATTCCACATAACACAGGACTGGAGGGGGAAGGAAAAGTAGATGTTTCTGTAATTTATCACACTCATATTCCACATAACACAGGACTGGAGGGGGAAGGAATAGTAGATGTTTCTGTAATTTATCACACTCATATTCCACATAACACAGGACTGGAGGGGAAAGGAATAGTAGATGTTTCTGTAATTTGTCACTTGAAAGGAACTATAGATGTATCTGTTGTTTTTTACACTGCTATTTCACATGACAGGAGTGAAAGTCAAAAGAATATTAGAAGTTTCAGTAGTTTATCACTTATGTTTCATGTGACCGTATTGGAGGTGAAATGAGGAATAAGTAAAGCCACTTTACACGCCTCAAGGTGTGTTGGGCATATAGGGTTGGACCGACACTGTATAGACTAGTCGGCAATGGGTGGGGGGATGTGCTCAGCATCACGCCAGCCCTCTTTACTTCCCAGGACTGCATCTGGTACCCACTCCAGGTTTAGTGGACCTGAGAAACAAGGTCACTTTTGAAAAAAAAAGTCCAGCTTGGTCAGGGCCCAAACCGATGACCTACAGATCCGCCGGCCAGGTCTAGCTTCCAAACTCCTGCGGCTTTCGAGAAAGGAATCATATGTTTGTAAGTTAAAGCATTTGTATTCCCTGTCACAACATTGAAAGTGAAAGAAATAGTAGATCTTTCTATAATGTTCGCATTCTTTTTCCGCAAAACATTAGCGGTGAAGGGAACAGTAGAGGTTTATGTAGTTTGTCACAGTCTTTTTTCATATGGCAGGATTTTTTTTGGTAATCTGTGCACACTCTTATACCACGTGACAGGAATTGATATGGCTGGCATTTACAGACTAGCAGGTTTTCATGATGACATCGAAGCTGTCCGTATGGCATTTGACAAAGGTATGACCCACCATGTTGATGAGTGTTGATATTTGGTTATAGTCAGGGAGCACATCACTTTACTGTTCAGACGTTATCGTTTTGTGTGTTGTTGGTATCTTCAGTCAGTGTTTAGTTGTTTGAAATGTGTGTCATGTGAATATTCGATTGTGATGTGTGTGTGTGCATGCCATGTAAATATTCACTTGTGATGTGTGTATGCATGTCATGTAAATATTCACTTGTGATGTTTGTGTGCCTGTCATGTAAATATTCACTTGTGATGTGTGTGTGTATGTCATGTAAATATTCACTTTGTGATGTGTGTGTCATGTAAATATTTACTTGTGATGTGTGTGTGCATGTGTCAAGTAAATATTCACTTGTGATGTGTGTGCATGTGTCAAGTAAATATTCACTTGTGATGTGTGTGCATGTGTCAAGTAAATGTTCACTTGTGATGTGTGTGCATGTGTCAAGTAAATGTTCACTTGTGATGTGTGTGCACGTGTCAAGTAAATGTTCACTTGTGTGTGCATGTCAAGTAAATATTCACTTGTGATGGTTGTATGTCATATAAATTTTCATTTGTGATTTATGTTTTTCAAGTAAATGGTAACTTGTGACTTGTTCCAGATGTGGAGAATACTGAATATTGTCCTTTCCTTTATCTTTATTCCAGATGTGGAGAATACTGAATATTGTCCTTTCCTTTATCTTTATTCAGATGTAGAAAATACTGACTATTTTTCTTAGCTTTATTTTTGTTCCAGATATGAATAATGCTAAATAGATTATTCCCTTTATCTTTGTTTCATCTGTGGAGAATGATGAAAACAACTTTGTTGCCGAAGTGTTAAACGCTGAATAGATTCTTCGCTTTATATTTGTTCCAGATGTGGAGAATGCCGACATCAGTGCCAACAAGTACGAGGACATTAACACAATATGCAGTGCCCTGAAGTTGTACTTCCGCCTGTTGCCGATTCCGCTGATCACTTGTGAAGTATACAAAAAACTCATCGAGATTGTCAGTACGTTCAACTTTACTTTACCATTAGTTCAGATATATTTACGGCAGCTTTTACTCTTTCTGAACTAGACGGCTTATCAACATTGTCCAGATGACCCTTCTTCTTCCTCGCGTTCACCAACTGAAAGTTCTGGTTGTTCATCCACTTCTGGACTACAGTCCTGTTCCAGAACCTGAGTGTTGTGTGTGCATCCGTTTTACAGATCTGACTCGTGTGTATGCAGACTGCTGGTTCCTTGCCTCTCAGACAGATGCACTCCGACTTTGAAGGAAGCTTCTAATTAGTCAACTCTTACAACATGATTTTGGGTAGGCAGTGGGTCTATTCTTGTTTTCCCTATAATAGGGACCCGGAACCCACACGGGGAGTCCAGATGACACATTAACCATAATTTAAATAATATGGATACAAACAATACAACATTTTTCGCTGGGCATATTTCGGGTGTTACTACAGAATTACATCAGCATTTAGTGAAGCATAAAAACTGAATAAATTCCACTGAAAAACAAATATAATAAAATTGAAGTAACCCTGGCAAGTCATGTCACTATCATGAGCTTAAGGTAATTTTTGGCTCTCCCTCATCATGTCTCCATGCCTTTCTTTGTTATCTTTTTTCCTCCTTCCCCCTGTCTCTCTTCTCCTTCTTTCCTCTATCTTCATCTGTCCATCTTTACACTGTCTTTCCCAATCTACTTCAGCATCGTCTTTCTTTCCCTCTCTATGACCCCCCCCCCCGCCCCCCCCAGATACCCCCCCCCAGAACAGACTTGATTTTAATTTGCTCCCCTCTACAACCAAGTCTACAAAAAATGTAAAAACACTATATCTGTGCTGGTATACCCACATATATGTGCATGAATAAAGTACCTTGTGTGCTCGGTACATCCTTGAACAATGCAAAAAATACCTTGTTTCAGTATTACTCCGAGACAACCTTGAAATAAACTAAGAATACCTTGAAAAGGTCATTGAAAAGCCTTGAAATTAATTGGTAAATTTGGCTATGAACCTTGAAAACCCATAAAAGTAGGGAAAATGGCTTTCTTAGGGCAAGATCGTTTACTTCCTCTTCTATTACTTCAGGTGTCGAAGTCAATATGAGTTCTACTCCCTTCGGCTCCAGAGATAAGGAGCTTTTGCTGGAACTACAGCATTGCATGCTTTGTGTTGTGCTCTTGGCAGATGGTGTGAAAAGAACTTGGCAGGTGGCTGGCCATTAATGGAGATAGAACAAGCCATGTGAGATATAACCGGGTGCAATAAATTCAGTCCTATCTGGTAAATACTTAAGCACATGTCTGTGTGGAATTCTTCTTCTACTTCTGCTCAATGAAACATTATTGAAATTCTGAAGTATTGAGTTGTTTCTGCTTTTACAGAGAGAGGTGATCTTTCCGTAGATGAGCAGGTGGCAATGATGAAAGAACCGCTCAGTTCTCTCCCTCCAGCACATTTTCACACTTTTAAGTTTATGTGTGCTCACCTCGGCAGGTAAGTTTATGATTCAGACATAAAATCACTGTAAACAAAATGTTTCATTCATTAAATAAACAGGGGGAACCTTGAGCCTGTAGAAATATTATGTATGTATAACAAACAAACAGACAATGTCTTGATCGAAGCTCATTGAAAGAAGTTGAAAGATAGAAGGACACACAAGACAACATAAAATTTGAAAACTATAGTTACAGTGCCGGAAATTGAACCTGTCACCTCCAAATGGCATGTGCCCCTCTCTTTGGAAACAAATGTACTAAGAACATGACTAACTAGGCACCCCTAAAAAAGGTGTCTTCATTAGACATGTCTATCGTACACGCTAAAATCCACAACTAAGGGAATACATGAATCCAAAGAACTATTGGAACCATACCCATCGTTAAATTTATTGAGAAGCAAAGAATGAAATGGTTTGGTCACCTAATGAGAATGGAACCAACGATGCCAGATTCAAGAGTATACAACATGAAAATCGAAACACCAAGAGGCAGGGGAAGACCAAGAAGAAGATGGATTAAAGGAGTCACGGACAACTTGAGACTTCATAACATCACGGCATATGAAGCGACTGAGCGCGCCCTGGCTCGGTTGCAGATCATCTGATAGACTGCGACGCCCAGCGGCACAAGCAGATTTTGACAAAAGAAAGAAAGAAGAAGGGAATACGGACAGAATTCATCTCAAACCATTGAAATGGCACCAGCCCTTACCAGCGATTGAACCCGGAACCTCTAGCAGTCGATGTGGACACCATGCCTCGAGACCACGCAGCCTCCCTGGACAGATGAAGACCGCAAGCACACTGGCTGTTTGTAACTAAAGTGGGAACAAGTTTTTAGTTTTTTTTTTTTTTAGATCATTATCGGACAAGGGCTCGGATCCTATCTTCATTATCTCCCTTAGTGTTTCGCGACTGACAGCAGTAGTTCTGTGTTAGCTTACTATTCATCGTTGGCTGCCTGTATACTGTTCATGTCTAGTAGCACCTCTTTTGACATGAAGTTCTTGTAGTCTTGCCTGTTTCATTGTCTGTATCCACTGAATTATTGAACCTGCCTGTTTCATTGTCTGTATCCACTGAATTATTGAACCTGCCTGTTTCATTGTCTGTATCCACTGAATTATTGAACCTGCCTGTTTCATTGTCTGTATCCACTGAATTATTGAACCTGCCTGTTTCATTGTCTGTATCCACTGAATTATTGAACCTGCCTGTTTCATTGTCTGTGTCTACTGAATTATTGAACCTGCCTGTTTAATTGTCTGTGTCTACTGAATTATTGAACCTGCCTGTTTAATTGTCTGTGTCTACTGAATTATTGAACCTGCTTGTTTCATTGTCTGTGTCTACTGAATTATTGAACCTGCCTGTTTAATTGTCTGTGTCTACTGAATTATTGAACCTGCTTGTTTCATTGTCTGTGTCTACTGAATTATTGAACCTGCTTGTTTCATTGTCTGTGTCTACTTAATTATTGAACCTGCCTGTTTCATTGTTTGTATTCACTGAATTATTGAACCTGCCTGTTTCATTGTTTGTATCCACTGAATTATTGAACCTGCCTGTTTCATTGTTTGTATTCACTGAATTATTGAACCTGCCTGTTTCATTGTCTGTATCCACTGAATTATTGAACACACCTTTTTCATTGTTTTTATCCACTGAATTATTGAACACACCTGTTTCATTGTCTGTATCCACTGAATTATTGAACACACCTTTTTCATTGTTTTTATCCACTGAATTATTGAACACACCTGTTTCATTGTCTTTATCTACTGAATTATTGAACCTGCATGTTTCATTGTCTGTATCCACTGAATTATTGAACACACCTTTTTCATTGGTTTTATCCACTGAATTATTGAACACACCTGTTTCATTGTCTTTATCTACTGAATTATTGAACCTGCATGTTTCATTGTCTGTATCCACTGAATTATGATACCTGCCTGTTTCATTGTCTGTGTCTACTGAATTATGATACCTGCCTGTTTCATTGTCTGTATCCACTGAATTATGATACCTGCCTGATTGTTCCACAGAGTTGTTGATCACAAGGCCAAAAACATGATGCCCGCAGAAAACCTGGCCATCGTCTTCGCCCCAACTCTGATGCGCTCAGACGATCCAGATCCCATGGCCGGTCTCGTGTCAGCGAAGTTTGAACAGCGAGTCATGGAGCTGATTATAGCTAATCATACCAAATTGTTTGGAAAGTGATTTGATTGGATACAGTTAGTTACATGGTTCGCAAACATTGCGTCTAATCCAAGTTAATGAGATAATTGTGTCTGCTACACTTTTATCTAGGCCACTTGCCGTTCATCAGTATTTAACATACTGTAGAGTCTCGAATATAGTGCACACATTTTTTTAGACGTCCAATCTTCTCTTTTAATTTACCTTTTAATTAAAAGTTGCACATGAAATATTTTTAACAGGTCTGTTTTGAGACTTAGTCAAGCAGTCTTCACCATCATGTAAATAACAGATCCTTTCCAGAACTTTGCTCCCATCACAGCAATCCTGACAGAAACTAGGTACCCTCACCAGCTCTCTTGCCTAATGCACTCTCCTAGCCAATCTACCTAAGATGTCTCTAGTGTCCTGGGCCCATCTGCTCATGCCTACTTACCTGGTACAGCGCCCTCTGCTACTGTTCTTTCCAGTCCATCATTGCATTTAATATGCCCCAAGTATTTCAGTTTCTCTGACCAGGTGCTGCTTATGAGTCAATTTTCCTTACTGTTTAGATCTTTGAGGGTGTCAGAATTTCTTTTGTGTGTGCGCGTGGGGGAGGGAGGGGGGACGGGGTTCCACAGAATTCTAAGAATCTTTCTGTAGAATTTCAGCTCAAAAGCCCCTATTTTCTTCCTTCAAACAGTACACAGTTTTTAAAATTGAAAAGTAAAAAAATGTTCAGGCATAATTTAAATTCCATCTCTAAAATGAACATAAGCATCCATTGTATATGATTATAGTGTTTATTAAGTAAGTAAAACGCTTTTTTAACCTGTAATATATGCTTCAGCCAAAACCTAACCATCATTTTATGGTTCAAATTTGCTGTTGCCATTTTAACTTTAAATCCTAGAATTAACTGAATATTTCATAGTTCTCTTCATGCTTCAACAAGTTAGCTCCTAGACCACTAAATGATGCACATTAACAACAACAAAACTCAAGGCTGTGTATTGTATATGGGTTGTTTCAAATTGATTTGAACAATTTTAGCACTTTATATTTTCTTTATGAAGTTTTAAAATAAGATGCAGTGTCACACACATACATTGTAGCTTTCCAAGTTGATTTGGTTCATTTGAGATGGTTACTACAAAGGTAAAATGATTTTAACCATTTCAGTTCTTTATACTTTATAAATTTTTGGAATAGGATGCAGTTTCACACACATTTAATTTTAATGTAGCTGTCCAAATTCAGTTGCCAATAGTTATCACAAAGTTAACTCAGTAATATTCATGGTGAGCGCCCTTTGTTACTCTTCAAATGTCGACACAGTAATCTAAGTTTCTACCAGATGAATTGCAACATGTTCTCAACAATAGTTTGCACTGCAGTGGTAATGTGATCTTGCAGTTGTTGCACATCTTGGTGCAAGTGGCTATAGCATCTTACGCATATCTCCATAGAAGTCACAGGGTGTGAGGTTTAGTGACCTTGCTGGCCAAGGTTATTACTTCAAAGTGCTATCCATTGATGTGAAAGTTTCTTGCTAAAGAAGTTAGTTATATTGCATTAGTTGGGACATGGAGCGTGTTCTGTGTCAATTTTGAGGATGTGTTATAATATTATTCTTAGGATATTTTATCGGTGGTGACATTTTATTCCTCATGGAAAATGTGGCTATCCTCTGAATAACGGTCGGCAAAGGTGGCAGCCGCAAAATATCCCTTCGAGCCTCAGTCACGTGTCAATTGCGCACTTCCGGCGACTTAATTTACGGTTCTCCGGTGGTTTTCCGGCGACTACCGCCAGGAGTCCCCCACGCCGCTCACACCGCATGGATTGGGGCTAAACTAGATGGCTAGGACCCACGAGCAGCAGCTTCCGCATCTCCTGAAGCTTTGCTCGTGAGTCCTAGCCATCTAATTTAGCACTAATCCACGCCGCGTGGGGGACTCGCGGCGGTAGTCGCAGGAGAACCACAAATTAGGTCACGTGGCTCGAAAGGATATTTTGCGGCCGCCATCTTTACCGACCATTATTCGGAGGATAGCCGAAAATGTTTTTATTGTTCAGATCATTCTGAAATGCCCTGTACTTTTATTATCCAATGTTACTTTCAGGTATGATGACTTGAGCCTGTATAATGTGAACATTATAGTCGAGATTTTACAGTACTTGGGATATAAGTCCTTGTGTGTCACTTAAACATCAGTGAAAATTGCTTGTTTGGGCATTACAAAAGGTCATCTAATTCATTCACGATATTGAGATTCAAACCACACAATGGAACCTGTATTGCCTTCACAAGGATTTGCTTTTAAAATAAATTTATTTTTTTAACTGTATAGAAAGATGAAGCATTTATCATTGCTGTTGTTCAGCCTTCTTGAAGTTAACAAATGTGTAACATGTGAAAATATTTATCATGATCATATTGTCATTTGTCGTAACCATCTTTGTCATCAATGCCATATCAGTCAGATTGTCCGCTGACATTGCTGTTTTTAACCACAGCCACTATTTGTCATTATATCATTCGCTGCCTATTTATTGCTTTTGTCGAGTTTGTTTAGTCATAATGTTTTAAGATGAGTAAATGTATTTTTAGGTGTGTACAAAGTAGGTACTAGTTTTGGTAAAATGATTTCACAGAACATCAAAGAATCAAATGGTTTGGTCAGAATGAAACAAATCAGCTAGCAGCTGGAGCTTACTATGTGAGCACAGCAGGCTTCAGGTCAAGAGGTAGACACAGAAAAAGAGGAGCGAAGGAAGTAAAAGAGACACTACAGAAACGCAATATAACATTAACACAAGCTACAAAACTAGCAAACGACAGGTAACTACATCTAACTTCTATCAATGATACTTTACGGCATAAGCAATTGGACAAAAGAAAGAAAAAGTCAAACTGAGTTCTTTCTTTTTGTCCATCTTCTTCTCCTTCCTTCGCCCTTAAAAAATAATTTGGCGCTCTGTAGTTTACAACTAGGCTGCAATATCTGCACCATTGATCAGACCCTTAATTAATGCCTTTTAAGACATGCTTGTTAAGGGACAGTGGATTTATTTTTTCCTTCAAAATGGTGTCACGGAAACCACACCAGGAGCCGGATTATTTCATGCCATGGAACAATGTTTCCTATTTGGTATTCTAGGGGTCTGCGGAACAATTTTAAAGGGTCATTATATCATTTACAACAATCACAACAACAATAACAACAGTCTCAGCTTTAGAATGCTTCTTCTAATTCTTCTTACCACTCACTGGTTGTTTGTCCAACTCTGGACTTTGGTCTTGTTTCCACAACTTGAGTTTTACATGCACATCTGTTTTAGAAATCTGGCTCAGTTGTAGGCAGACTTTTGTTTCCTCGCCTGTCAGGCAGACGTACTCTGACTTCAAAGGAAACACCCCTAATTAGTAACAAATAATAAGAAGGGTACACATGTCTTAGCTAATTCAGAACCACTGCTTTAGAATAGAATACAAATGTTATTTTTAAAAAAAAGCTGTTTGGAGATGAGAGGATTTGTTTTATTGCATTGGGTTTTATCCTATCTGGCTTGGCCTTTTGCCACATAGTTGCCGGTTGTCCGGGAGACCATAAAAAACAAACAAAAGCTCCAGCAACAACAACCCCTTCCCATGTTGAAGTCTTCAGGGAATTAAGCCAAAGGCTTTGCCACAGAGACCGCATTTAGATCATGCAGTTTTGAAGCTTTCACACTGAGATCCTGTGAATTTAACTTCACTATCTGTTACATATCCCCCCAATGCCGTTAAACCAGCTGTGCTGAATTCGCCAGTCACAGACAGGTCTAGCAAGTTGTATTGTTCAGAACCACTGCCATTAACTAGCGGTCAAATTGTTAAACTGTTTTTTTTGTTGTTGTGTGCCTTGCACAATGTTGAGGGGAGATGGATGTGATTATATTTGATTGAGAAGACTGAATATGATTTTATTTTACTAACAAATAGCACTTGGGGTGTTAGGATTTTTTTTTTAAAGTCATTGCAGTGTCATAATTGGCCATTCAGCCTTCAACAGGGGCAAAGCAATGGGGCCACTGTAAAATTATTTATAGACCAAGGGAATGTATTCATTTAACTCTCAGCAGCTTTTGTGTTTTATTGATTATTCCCCCTGGTATATTTTGATTCAAATTTTAAGATTGGTAAATAAACGTTAAAAAAAATTTTAAATTAACATAATTTTTTTTTAAAGTTTTGTCTGGGAATTCTTGAGCTCTGGGCCTTTTTTTTTTTCTCCTAAGAGTTTCCAGCGGTCCATTGAGAAAAATATACATAAAACATTGTTTTAACTCTCATCTTTCATAATTTGCTAGATGACCTACTGCATGAAAAGGGTCATTTCCTCTTTAATTTTACCCATCTCCCAGTGACCAGAAGAGAAATAAAAAGAACAAATTCTAAATTACATACGAAAACAAATCAAATTTTTTGGAGTGGTTTTTTTTTTTTTTTAGAGAGAGAATGTCTTGTAGTGCCATACCATACAAGGCAGGCATAAACCAAAAGAGGAGAAGGGTGTAGAGCCCAAGGTAGACCAAGAACAATATAGAAAGATAACATCAGAGAAATTTTATAACAGCACAATGTGTCTATGGTAAAAAAAATAGGCCAGAAGGGCAAGAAACAGAACCGTAGGTCTCCCTCGACACTCAAAGTGGTAAAAGACAAAGTAAAGAAGCAGAGGAACCATCACTCATTGATACAGTTTTAGTTGTAAACACCCAAAAAAAAAAATGCAATCGGTGTATGCTTGTCTCAATTTCATATTCATCCTGTGTAATATTAACCTGGCATGCTATTTTTATAATTTTTAGATTATGAACATACAAATAAACACTCAGCAGCAACAGTACATATATTTTGTCTGATATGCTGGTTTTATACAGATATATACGGTTTCGTTTCCCTGCATTGAACTCTCTCTGTTGGTTACCAGTGACAGTTTTTGGTCCGCTTTATGTTTGTGTTTTTGATTTTGTTTTCCTTTCTGTTGGGC